TCATCAAGTCTGATGGCGTTTGTAATAACACAGACACTCCAGAGATTTGAATCGTGTAGCTTTTAAGTACAAAAACTCCAGCACTAGCGGCACACTTTAAATAAGCAGAAACTTGACAAAAACAACCTCTGGAGCAAACTCACAGAAGAGATGAAATAGAAAATGAAAATAACTATCAGGGCTGCAATCAAAACAAAGCAAAAAAAACAAGACATTTAGAGCTCTAAGCAAACCAAAAAAAAAAAAAAAAAAAAAATATCCAGAAAGTTAAAGGATCTTCCACATATTAACTGCTCAAGGTTACAAAAAAATATGTAGCAACAAAGAATGAAATATTTTTTGATGCTGATCACACTGTTTATGTACAAGAGGTTAAAAGATCAGAAGAGTCCCCCTAGAATGCAAGTTGTTCAAACATGACATACAAACCCTTATTCTTTTGTAAATATGCAGTTCTGCAGTACAAGTTCTTGCATCCCAGATGTACATTCTGGAGTACCACAAAACACAAAGATCGGCCAATTCCATGAGAAAGAGTATTGAGACTGCAGCTCACAGAGGGAAACTGCACCAATGCTCCGGCCACACGTTACTTTTCTCCCACAACCACACAGCTGACTGTGAAAACAACGGTCTGATGGTTGCTCCAGACATCAATGGACTTATAATGCTAGTACGTTTTTTGGATCTAAAAATCAAACTATCACCGTCACAACTGAGTGTCTAAAATGATGAAAGTAAAATAAAGACAACTTCATTTTCACTAAGCTATAATCAGTTTTGGACTATAACAGACAGGTGTGACAAACCTACGGTTTACCAGTCAAGTTGAAGTTATCGGAACAGATCTCAAATCAAAAGCTCTAAAGACTTTAAGTCTAGCTTATTTCGAGTTTTATTTTTAGAGGCAGACGATACAGAAATCAAAATAATTACTGTGGCGCATCCTCTGAGGAAACTGAATCTAAAACATGTTTAAGACAAGTGAACACTTGAAGGAGAAAAGTAGACGAGCCAGGAAGCATAAGCCAGTATGACAACACTGCTCACTATGTACAGCGTAGGGATCAAGCTCGACAATGAGAGAAACGCTCCCGTTTTTAATCACTAATCCTGAGAAGCTGAGCGAGACCTTGAGCGAGACTTTGAGCGGGAGGCGGAGCGTTTCTCCCTGGACTTGGATCGGCGGTCATCCTTGAGAGGCGAAGGGGAGCGGGAGGGAGACTTAGCGACGGGCTCCTCCTTCCCGTTCGCCATCGGGGACGCTGAATGACTGGGAGACTTGTCGCCACAAATCTCCTTGGAACGACTGCGAGAACCCCGCTCCGACTTTACCTTTGAGCGACTCTTTGAACGGGACTTTGATTTCCGGCCAGCTGAAGGAGACCGGGATTTGGGGGAGCGTGAACGGGACTTAGATTTACGGGACCGAGAACGGGACCGGCGGTTGCGAGATCGTGATTTGCTTCCTCCCGACTTGGAGCGAGACTTCCTTCCAGATCTGGAGCGGGAATGGCGACGTCTCTTGTTGCCAGGGGAACGAGACCTGTAGTGAATACATTTTTTTTTTTTTTTTTTTTTTTTAAAAGAGGAAAATGCTTTACATGACTGTGCCATTTAACGATATTCATTCATTTCTGGCACAACACCCAATACATAACCTCTATTTCCTACTTATCTATGTCTAAACTTGAAGTTGAACTCTAATCTGTACTTGAATCTTATTTTGTTAGATTTGACCCATTCTCACCTGGAGCGACTCCTGGAGCTTCTGCGGCTCCTACTGCGGGAGCGGCGGCGACTACGAGATCTAATGTCAGATAGATATCAGTGTTACAAGTTTGTTAGCAACAGTTTAGCGTGCATCTTTGACAAGAAGTCGGAAGCATTAAAGAGCTTAAGCGGTGTTCCCACCTGGAGCGGCTGCCGGAGTAAGACCTTCGTTTGCGAGACCGGTCCTCCACGAGACGAATCTTCCGTCCGTTGATGTCTGTACCGTCCAGCTTGTCAATGGCCCTCTTCAAGTCCGACTGGGACCTGAACTCTATCACACCCTCATTTGTGCGTTCCTTGTGGGCGTCTGCATACGTCACCTCTCCTACCTGACGCATCAAGTCCTGTGGAACACGCACACAAAAAGAGTTAACCACCAAATACGCAGACAATCTCATTCTGTCTGAGCGGTTGCAGTGTAAAACACCTCACCACGGTAAAACATTAGCTGGTGTTCGAACATGTACCTTGAGGTCTTGCCAACTGCAGCGGCTGGACAAGTTCTCCACGATGAGGCGGTACTCGGTACGGACTGGAGGTCCGTACTTATCCCTGCCAGTGTGGTTCCGGCTGCTGAAACCGCTACCTTTAAAAACAACAGCACATGATATAAAGTTAGAAATGGTCGAGACACAATGAACTACTGGCCTGGGTTATCAAATGAACACAAGGCAGTGACCTGCTAGATTAACGTCCATGGGCATATTAATTTGAACTTAATAATGACATGGGGTCCCTTTGATCCCATTTTCAAAACACAAAGCTTCAGATAAATGATCTAGTGGCCACTTTGTATCATTTGTATTGTTCAGCATTTTGATGTCGTTCTCTGCTGCAAAGAACACCACTGCATCCGTTTCCGGCAATAAAAAAAACCTGCCTTACTCCGGTACATCACACTGTGATGGTTTAGCTGCGTAAACAAATGAACAGTGATGTTCTTTCAAGACCTCCGAACCCTGTAACGCAAACAGAAAGGAGGTATCCACATAAGTTGCGGTCAAGGACACTGTTCGATCAAATTTTAAACGCATACGCCAATCTTTCGGCATTCGACCGGATGTCGGTCCGAAATTTGGTTTTCCCGTTCTCGCACTTACAACATTTCTGGCGTTTGTAAGTTCGTTACTTGAGCCGCTCCACTTATGTTTGTTGTCAACATAAAAACCAATGGCAATCCTCACCATCACCCCTGGTCTATTGGCAAAAGGCTGATGTCATCATGGCTTCCGGTTAGGTCAGCCAAGGATCAAGGGGGGGGCAAAGGTCTCACACACACATTGTAAGGTGAAAGCCAAGGCCAAACGGGACAGGCAGTCATCTTAGCCAGTCATCTTTAGCCTCAATGGACTCTCAGCCTCAGCCCGCAACTGGACTCTTTCAAATTGAAACATCAAGGACTTTTGTTAATATGGAATATAAAAATATATACCAAAGTTAAAAAAAATACACATTTCACATGAAAATGTTCTAGTTCTAATGATGACGCTAAAGTTTACGCTAGGTTTGTCGTGATCATTTGCAATTAGCTTCCTTCTGTGGTGCAAACAACACATTTGAATGTCTAGGCCTTAAAAACATGGCTCGCCAGACTAGCAATTATCATCCAAGAGAACCTTGAAATCGGTGTTAGGAAAGCAAGCCGTCTTGGCTAATGCCAACTTCTAAAGCCTAAAGAGTTCTGCTATTTGAGGTTTCTGACTTGCATATTATTGTTCCGCCCCAATAATGAACTACAGACCAATCAAGGGTGGCCCATGATCACTAGGGAGGAGCAAAAACCAGCAGGTCACCAACCCTCAACAGTAGGAAATGAGATTTGTTCAGCAGGATGAGGCCGAACATGCCAAAAAGAAAAAAGTTTAACTGTGTGAGCAAGAAGAATATAGATCAGGAACTTCTCCATGTGGGCATACGGTTACATAAATAAAACAAACATGATATAGAGTATAGTACCAGCGGCGCTCAAAATTAGCATGCAATCTGAGCCATAGTAAACATGTTGTCACTTGACACTATAGTGGGATGGTTGGGATTATAAACTGTGGAAGTGAACCTGAAATAATCAAAGTGTAAACCTATTCCGCAAGTCTCAGTTGGCGCAAAACAACAGAACGGGTTATCTGTGCAGTCCACACAGACACCTCAACCCCAGGGAGAAGGGGGTTAGAGAGGGTATCTTGTAATAGACTGCACTTACTGCGCCCACCACCCCGGTAACCCCCACCGTGGCCATCTCGATCTCTCCGCGGCCCCCGGGCATGTTCCACGATCACGCGCTCCCCGCACAGCTCCTTCCCGTTCAGCTCGTACACGGCGTCATCGGCGTCCCGGTTGTCCTCGAACTCCACGAATCCATAGCTGGAATGGAAAGACAGTTTTAATATACATTTAAAAAAAAAAGTTATAACAGCGGCTGAAGTCGTGTGTCTTTCCACACGCCATGTGTTCATGTACATCAAACAAGCTAGCTAGCTAGCTAGCTAGCTGTAGCCATCTGGGCCCGCTAGCACTGCGATGAAACCAACACAAAGACGCCATGTTGGCCATGCTACACTGGTCACACGAGCGGGACTCCGTGTAGAGGAATGGAACAAAAGAACCGCGAAACAAACTCTGGGGTTTAAGTTTACAAGCCGACTGGCCTGCAGAGTAAGACATATAGCTATTTGGTTAAAATCGTATCGTGTTTCTGTACCAGCACCGACGTCGTTCACATGAACGGTTACGTTAATGCTACCTAGGCGATATTATTCAACCCGCGGTTGCATTTCTATCAAACACTCACCCGTTCTTCAAATCGACTTCCATGAGCTTTCCATATCCGCTGAATAACCGCTGAATGTCTTTTTCGCGGACATTGTGGCTCAGCCGTCCAATATAAATACGAGGCATGACTTCTCGACTGTTCTTCTGCGGGGCCTGTTACCAAGCTGAACGAGAGAGCCGTTACTGCTTCTTCTTCTTCTTGGTCGTGTTCTGTTTCTTCTTCTTTAGTGTTTATTTGAAGCTGGCAAACCACTTTAGAGGCGCATTACCGCCACCAGCTGGACTGTGGTGTGCAACAAGACAAGCAAGAGGAGAAGGCGACAATGGTTGCTGTTCACCAACAGACTTGACAATTAAAAGTAATAGTGTTTTGTCTTCTTTATTGGCTGAAGAGGGCGATTTCTCTTGATATTATTTCCTACAATGAAGTAGTAAATGTTCAACTGTTTCTGGTTGGCTGCAGAGTGCGTGTTTTCCAGTTGGGTGCTTGCCTATTTGATATAATCTATGCTTGAGACCTGTATGATTTATTTCAGAAGAGTGATAATCATATATTATATAAAGATATATTCAGTCAATGGTGCTGATGTTTTCTTCCCTTATTTTCCAGCCAACCATCACCCACCAACATGTGTAAATATTATAAATGTCCTCCAGTTTCATTATCATCCCAATCCTGCCATACTGCTTGTGTATATGCCCCTGATTCATACATATGAAAGTCCTTGCTTCTGCAACACTTAATGGAATTTGTAGGATCTACATGCTTAATTCTGAGTGATAGTGTGACTAAAATATCCACCTGCTCATTTCCCTCCACACCAACATGAGCAGTAACCCAAAAGGATGTCCATCCTGTACACTATAAGGAATAATTTGATAATTTATGTTCTAAATGGTGATCTGCCAGATATCATGAATGTTCGTGCAAGAAGGTTTCAGGTGCCATATCGGTTTTATTTATTTCCTTCTATTATCCATTTTATCACATACTGTCAGAAGGAATATAATTAGTAATAAAATGTTGGCTCCGTATAATCATTGGGATTGATGTGTGGTTTAAGTGGACCTGAGAAACTACTAGTCTTAGTATTTGCCTGGTTAAATACATGAATCTCAGTGCTTTGCATGGAAGAGCTGTTCCAACAAAGTCAAGAACAATCTAAGGCCTTTACACAATATATAAGCATTTAGAACAGACTTTAAATTAATATTTGGTTAAAAATAATGAGACAGCTATAAATACATTGCTTGCAAGTAACAGCTTTTGGCCGTTCTAAGTAAAAGCAGCAACATGGCAACCATGTCGAGCAAGGAGCAAACCTGCTGCTGGGTGATCAACCCAGCAAACTGTCTCTGGTCCCAATGGTTACATTTTTACAGCAACTGATTGAATATTGAACTAGTTAAGAGGCACACTGTACAAAACAAAATGTGTAAACACAGAAAGAGAGCAGAAATGGAGAGAGAGTGGAATATTTTATTTTTGTAAAAACCAGGTTTTAAAATGATTCCAGCCCGTCATACTTATCCACATCCTTCTCAAACATCAACAGAACCAATATCATGTAGTAACCAGCATCAGTGGACTAAACATCCTCACATCCTGGCTAGCTTGTGGTGTAAACTTGTTGAAATTATACTTGAAAATAAAGAGGATAGAGGCGTCTGCTCAGAAGCTGTTTTTAGGGGGAAGCATTTGGGCGTTCATGTTCAGGGAAAGCTGCTCTTCTTGACGAAAGTCATTTTAATAATTTCCACATCAGATCTCAAATGGTTGATAAAGTGTGTTCATCTTAACTTCAAAAGTCAAAAAGGAAGCAATAATGAAGTACAAAATTGCTCATCAATGCCACTTACAAACACACCATCATTTGGATCTCTCAAAGTCTCCAGTGAGAAGTTGCTCTCCCCTTTATCAACCCCTAGTTCTCTGACTTGCGTGTTCATCTCCTGCTAACAGATGATCAAAATGAGCTCTGCGTTGGGGCTGTCACAGACCAGTAGCAGTGACAAACCTTCCTCCGTGTAGTGATTTTGATTTCTATCCTTGAAAGGCTACAGCAGAAAATTCTGGACTGGCAGTTGTGTATTTTCGGGCCAGAACAGAAACAGGAACGCAATCTGGAATTCAACAAAAGCAGAGTGACCATATGAGCCGCATGGCTACAATTACCAGAGCAACTACGCTCTTTCATTGTAGATCAATTTAGCTTAACTGTAATCTGCATGGAGACATCTGTTCCTCATCCAAAGAAATATTCATCTCTTGTGCATGTTAAGCGGGAGAGGAATGAAGAAGCCGTATCAAATCAGGAATCTGGCAGGAATCAAGAATCACAGCAAATCGAAACAAAAACAACCTTAGGTGGTGGAGGGTTCGTCAGCCAGACAACAAATTAAATGCATCCAATGGTGTGTGTGTGTGGTACGCGTCATCTGCTCACGGTGCCTGAACCCAATCTGTCAGCTTTAGATACTCTCTCTGCCCTGTCAGGCCACGACACAACTTAACAGCCAAACCCTCCCGCAGTTCGATCCAGAGAGTCCTTTTAGCAAATCAGAGGGGCACCCGACCCCCCAGCTTCGGCCCCTCCGAGGGGAAAGGGGAAGCCGAGAGGAGGAGGAGGAGGGGAGCCCAGTTTCGGTGGTCTTTTAGTTGGCTTTAGCGCGCAGCTGCGCCCTCTTGCCCGTCACAGCCTGGAAGCCGGTCTTGATGCTGGCGACGGAGCAGCGGGAGTGGCACGTTTCACACTGCAGGAAGTAGAGGCGAGTGTCTTTCTGCAGGATGGTCTCCGGGGAGCGGCAGGTGTGACACGTCACGTATTCCTCTGCGGGATTGAGAAGACAGCTGTTAGCATCGCAGCACTCGCAGGAATATGAATGTCCTTTGAGACGTTCTTGGTGGAGAGGTAAAAAACAACAACATTGTTTTCCATTTCAAAACAATTTAAATTTGATATCTTCTTTCATTTATTCTGTTTATATCCATTTCCTTCTTTTGGGGACTTCCATCCTTCATGGAGAACAAAGCATAGGCTACATTCACATTATAAATGGATGTTATGGTAAATGGATTTCTGTTTTCACTCGACAGACTAAAGCTGAACACAGACATTGAGTGCGTTGGTGGAAAAAAGGCGAGAACCAAAGCCTAAACTTGCATAGTCTAGTGTATTCACTGTAATGAATTACTTACTGATATATCTTCTCAAGACATTTTCTATCTGTTTCTGTTGAAATCTGCCTTTGATCACAAGCTGGTTATTTCCATCTATGGAACCACTGTGAATAGAAAACACCCCCCATAAATTAGACTTTCAGAACAATGCACAGAAATGTTTTTGAGGAACTAGAGCCAAAAATTGACATAAAATCCAATTACAGTGTATCCATGAATTGTGATTGCAAATACAAAAATGTACCTTGTTCCCAGCTCAGCCAACAGGAAAGCGAGGAGATGTTTAGGCTGACGATGCAACCTGTGATGGAGTACATAAAAGGTCAGTTTGTAGACATCGCTTTAATAAAATGTTGTATTGGTGCTGACTGGGACGGTTTGAGAGGTGTTCACGTGTCTGTCTGAAGAGCGGGAGGCTCACAGTTTGCAGATGTCTGTGAAGTTGACGAAGGAGGTTTTCTTGGTTCCCACTCGGACCACCTGAGGAGGCTTCATCACAAACTTCCTCTTCTCTCCGGCCACCATATCCGGGTTCTTCTCCCTCATTATGTTGAAGACCCGGTTCAGGAGCTGAAAAAGTTACGCCAGAGAAACATTTTGAATTGTTTGAAATATTATTGACATTTTGACAGTCTTGTACTTAGTATAGTTTGTTCCAGTTTACAAGAAATAAGGATGGTAAGAATTGAGATACCTTCCTCATTCTCAGCTACGTTCTTTGATGATACTTGTTTTTCTGCTTGTGCATACAGAACAAGGAAGTGCGACATTTCATCTGTATCACAGCATTTTCCAAAACGTACATATTCTAATTTCCTTGCACTAAACAAGCTGTCCTTCCTGATGTAAAATGAATTGTATAATAATATATAAATAATATGGCTGCGAGTGCGTTTACAGCGGTCCTACCTCATCATAAGTGTAGTCTCTTTCAGTACCGGCCCAGGTCGGTCCTGTGGAGGAGCTGAAAGAGATCCCGTCTTTGTCCTTCCCCTCATCATCCTCCAAAGCTGGAAAACAAAAATGATGATAAAACACGTGCTTCCCATTAGTTCTCTGCTTCAAGCTCGCAGTGACTTATTCTCACCGTCGTCCATCTCCAGCAACTCTCCCTCATCAAAGTCCACTTTTTTTGACTTCTTCTTCTTGGTGGGAAGCATCAGGTCCAGGTTGTCCTCCTCCACCACCTCTGTTTGCTCTGCCTCAATTTTCAGCTCCTGGTTCGGATCAATGAGAGGTGAGGTTCAGCGAGGAGATGAAAGGAGAGTGAAGAAGTGCTCATGCAGAATGATCAGAAAGAGAGAGGATGGAAGCAAACAGGAATAAGCAGACTACTACTATTGAGGAGAAAGAAGAAGAACTGGCTGTGGTTTCGCAGTGACTGACCTTTAATCCCTCCTCGACATCATTCTCAAATACTTTCTTGGGCTTCTTCTTCTTTTTCTTTTGGTTGAAGAAGTTCAAGTCGCTCAGATCATCGGACGGTTCTAGAGAAGACAAAACAAACTCAATGCAGGCTGGTGGTTCAACACGATGTAACATCCCTCATGAAGGAATATGCACAGACACCGAGTCATCTCTTTCTCCGTTCCAACCTTTCTTCCTGCCTTCATCTTCATCTAGATCCATCTCCTTGTCGTCTCCGGTCTCTGGTTCGGCTTCCTTCGCCTCCACCTCTTTAGCCTCTTCTCCTCCTACTCCCTCTCCTCCTTCCTCATCTAGCATGAAGGGCTTCTTCTTCTTCTTCTTCTTCTTGGTCATGTTGGGGTCAAAAATCATCTGAAGAAGAGGAAAAGAAAAGAGAGGAAATTAAGTTTTACAACTGCGACAAGTTTCCGACTTTTCCCCCCTTTCCCATTGCTCAAGTAGTTGTATCGTTTCCTAGCTTGCACTTCTGTGATTATTGATATTCATGTTTTGGGAGGTGTAAAATGTATTTTTTAACATTGTTTTTTTCTTATAACATTCAAATCAGCTGTATCCATTGGTGTTTTTCAGTGTGAAAATGTGATATACAAAAATACCAGATTATTTTAATGCAATTTGAGATTTCCAGGGTGTTCGTCGTCATACAACCCATGGCTTTTTACATTAATAAAAGTTATCCGATAACAATAAATGACAGATAAGTGCTGTCACATATTTTGGGCCCTGATATAAAACAGCGACTCAACGACTGACCAGCCACGATTGAAGTGTGCTGTAATAGATAATAGATGAGATTAAATGAAGCCTTAATTGACCAAAAATGAATCGGTTTATGACATATTTAGCACAAACGATAAAACTATCAGGTTACAGACTCAAAGGGGACTTTTTTTAATTTGAATGATAGTTAATCTAATATCTATAGGTTTTAGACAGCTTGTAAGAGAAAAAACAAGAAACCTGAATGTGTCAACTTGAAATCTGGGAAATTGTGATGTTTCACTATTTTCTGTGATTGAACAGATTATTAATTATGAAAATAATCGAGATGAAGCCACACAGCAGACACCTGTCAGCAAATCAGACACCAGTCATTTGTGTGACAGCGGCACACAACCGATATAAAGCGTTATTACAGATGTTGTGATACAGGACTTGATATGCAACATTGGGATACTCTTCCTCGTCTTAAGGGCAATTATTATCTCATTTAACTGATGCAATTTTGTGAAATACTGCAACGTTAACGGTTGCAGCTGAATGACCGGGCCAGTTTGCCTTCGCACCCAGATGAGCAAACGTTAACGTATTAACGATAATTTAGTAACGGTTAAATCACGATAATCTGTTTTCTTAAAACAACGGATATCTTTAATGGCAGTAAGAACATTTTATTGATTAGAGCCAGTAAGATAAAAAAAAATGTATTTCGTGATATTTCATTTTGATAATGTTGGACATCTTAATTCTGACTGTTATACCCATCTCGACTCTCTCTGACCAGTTAACTCTGGAGCCGGTAACGGCCGCTTTTTGTTCCTGCTGGAGAACATCGTCCGTTAGCACCGCAGCTTCGATGCCGGCCAGCTAACGCTAGCTAGCTAGCTAGCTAGCTAGCTCGCGTCAATCCTTCAATTTGAGTATCCAGCAGATGTGACAGGGCGGATGGATGAAACACGGTGAGGATTAATAATATGAGACATGTGACAGATCGTGATACGCTGGTGTAACGTTGCTGGGAGTTTTCTTGACGTTTTGTCTGGTCAGGCTAGCTCGGCTGCAGCCATGTGAGAGCTGCTGCGGATCGGAAGGAGTGCCGAGGCCCAAAGTCATGCTCAACACCGATGCTATCTGATAATTTACGTATTTTCACCAAACAAGTCTACCCACTAACACGGAGTGACCAGCGGATGACCCGAGATGACTTACCTCGTCTCCTGACATGTTTGTGGGCTGAAAAGTGACTGGAATCTGGTTAATTTTTGTCCCTCGAACAGTGGCACAATGCTGCGCCGAAAATGTCTTGCATCAGCGTTGGATCTGCAGTGCGCAAGCGTGAACACCCCAAATCCTGACGTCATTACCTTGCGACGTCGCGTTGCATTTGGTTGTTCAAGAGCAGAATTGAAAAAACAAATATGTTGCTAAATAAGAAGTCTGTATATTTATTTCCCGATATATTAATTGTGGTTGTCCCCTCTACTATGAAAACACATTGCTTGGCTTCTGTGCTAGCATTAACTGTAAAGCACTTTGTAACTTGGTTTAGAAAAGTACCATATAGATCAAGTCTGTAATCATTATTATTGATATTATGTATGTATTAGCTGTGTATTCATGATAGTGACAATTATTCTGCTTTCCCCCATGCAATGTTAAAGTATGACCCTCTAAATATGCATACCATATTAAGCAAACCTGAACAGTCAGAAGTTTAAACCTCTTAGCTTGTAAGTATAAACATAACTGGCAGGAAAACTCATGAATAGTTAACATTGCATCTATTAAGTTCCTCTCTTTAAACTAAAATGCCTCTGTTTCCTTTGATAGATATTTTTGGGTTGGGGTCAGCTGGTCGGACATCACCTATGGAACATTGTGATGGATTATGATGTTCTGACATATAATAAATGACAAAACTACAAGAAAAGAATTGAAAACCTTTAATGATTTTGCAAATAATATTCTCATCTTGATAAATAAAACAGAAATGCAAACATGCTTGTCCATACATCCTTGTGTTATGTTTTTTTTTCTTATGTAAAAAAATGTACATAATGACTTTGAAAAACTAAAGTAATTCACCCTTTAAACTCCAAAATGTTGTAGATTGACTATAATCTAATCTTTTACAAACCACTATCTCCTTCAAGATGCAGTTAATAAGGTGTGACAATAGCTTATTATTATTTTTTCAACATTATACAATTTGAAACAAAAATCTTTTATGAGAAGAACCGAGACAGACAGACAGAGCAGGATGAAAATGTTTAACATCTCTCTTTCTAGCCGTGCCTTGTGATCTGTATTTGGGATTTATCCATTGTTGCATGCTTCACTCAACACAACCTCTCCGTGATGGCAGAATACAGGATATAAAAAGAGACACATTTGGGATATTTACACCAAATAACAAGAACCACTGGTGAGAACGCCTTTGAAGGGAGGGAGAAGTCGCTGAAATGGCGACAGGAGGCGAAGAGGAGGGAAAAGGACAAAAGCACGCAGCCGTAGACAAAAGAAGAGGTTCGAATTCTGGCAAACACACAGCTCATAGCTTCTTCAGCCAGCTCATGCTCAGCTGTTGTCCTATTTCCAACAGCATTAACAAAAAACGAAAGGAGCAAAGGATTGTTATTTTTGTCAAGAAGGAAAAAAAACAAAAAACAGCCAGTTTAACGCCACAAAACAGGTAAATATGAGTCAGAAACAGTTCATTGAGGATCTATGAAAATGCCCCTGTCCTCCAGTGATGTTAGCAACGCCATGCAGCCTTTAACACTAATCTGACCACAACTCATTTATCGCACCACAGAGCTCATAAGATTACACCTCACTATGAACTCTGTGGGCGCTGAGATAGCCCTGCCCAGTACGATGACCATTAAGTGCTAGTATTGTGTTAAAATTCAGGGTAAAAACATTAGGTGACTTTGCCAAAGTACAGTGATAGAGCTTCAATATAAAAGCCCCCGACTGGCTCGTCTGCTGAGCACCCAGGGGTCTCTGTATTTGTGAAGGAGACGGGGAAAAAAAAGTCTACAGCATTTTTGCTTGCTAGTGTTACATAACGTCAGCTCTCCTCAGACACACAAAAATATACTCATACACAACATCCTATCAGTCCATTCATTCCCCCTTGCTCCTTCCTCTTCCCTCTGCGATGCAGGTATGATGCGGCCGACGCTGCGTCTACATGGCTTCCATCGCCCAGCGCTGCAGGTCCTCCATGTCGTCCTCGTCCTCTTCTTTCTTGGCTGTGGGGGTGAAAAGATGGAAATAACAGTTGTGAGAGATGTGAATGAATGAATGAATGAATGAATGGGTGCGGTTGTGCTTCCAGAACTCATCCTGAACCAGGATCAACCTCCACCTCAAACATCTACTTTAACAGATGAGCCTGAAGCAAACGGTCAACATTTTAGAAAATATGATTATTTGCCTTCTGGTGAGGAGTTAGACGAGAGGATTGACTGATGTCTGCACGATATATTAACGGCCGATGAGAAGGGACATTATATTGTCGTAATTGTTCCAATAATTATGTCCGATATTGTGGTGGATGACAAGCACTTAAACCTCAGTTCTGTATGGGGATATGGAGATGTACGGAGGTGAGCCAGCCACACAGCCACACACAGCCACACACAGCCACACACACACACACACACACAGCCACACAGCCACACAGCCACACACACACACACACACACACACACACACACACACACACACACACACACACACAGCCAGTTTAATGTAAAAGACCTGAAGCCTTTCTAAACGGTTTTAGTTTATAATACATTCATTTATATGTTTTTTATAGGGATGGTGAGAGCAGTCTAAACATTGGTGGGTGTATTAGAAAATAAAATAAAAGTATATATCTCTATCTCTACTACAGATGCACTGATACTGATACTCATATCACATATCGGTCCAATACTGACTCAAATAGCTGGATCGGGTATCAGTGACAATGGGCTGTTCTGGTACCGGATACCATTGTTTTAATAAATAACAATGTGCTTATGTGCTGGACCATTTCTTGGCCTTGAACAATAATTAATAGAGTCTCCACTGGTTACCTGGCAGCTGCACAGAGCCGAGAAATATCGCCACACACGTAAAATAGCAAAATCTTTTAACGATTAACCATATTTCCCAAAGTGTTGACAAGTCCTTTGACTAAAAAAAAAAAAAAAGATGCTGCCATAGAACTAGAATATTATACATAGAGTAGAATATTATATCATATATAGAATAGAATATTTTGTTTCTATGGATGTCACAGTCAGGCTCACAGAGTCCTTGTATCAGCTGTTCAAAAGGCTCTCACCAGGTCTGGAAGGTAATGAAGTAGAAGGCACGTTGGGAAGGGGGACGTTCTCTGGTCCGCCGATCTCCAGCAGGTTTTTGTCCAGCTCCTCCTGTTCCAACTCATCCAGCTCCGCCAACAGCTCATCCTGGCAAAACACAGAGAACAACACTGAAGGTGAGGGTAATCACAAAGTAATTCATGCAAAACCTGTAGTAAATCAAAGCAGCTTAAATAATAGTTTTTCTATTTTTATAAAATCAGTCTGGGGGGTATCATCTGGTGCGTCTGTCCACTTGGTGAGTTTAACGTCTTGCCTAAATACTTCCAGTCATTTGACTGAGAATTTGCAAGAGAGCGTATTCATTCTTTCTGCCATATTGTCCCCTAATGACTCAATACCATCAGTTGTGGTGAAGTTGGTCTATGAATGAGACCATTCAAAAATAAGGAAGCCTTAATGCCTGAGTCATGACTCAAGAAACACAAAGAGGTCAACAAACGCAACACCGCTGGGCAGCACTAACTTTGTGGTCAACCCTGTGTCATCACCATCATCAGTCCTTCACTTATTACCGTGTGTTAAACACAGAGGAAATCCATCCGATATCTATCTAAATATATTATCTGAAAAGCGCTGCCCAACCTCATCAAACTCCTCTCCAAAGCCGACGGGTTTAGAGATGGCGTCGGAGATTTCCTGGGCCAGCTCCTGCTGCTCTGTGATGTCCTGCATTAGGTCGTCCACCTTGTCAATGTCCCTGAAACAACATGCAGAGGATGAGTCATACGTGAGCTAAACAGAATTACACCTTCTAACCGACACACACTGACCATTTGATACAGTTAGAAGTATGTTTATTGTCATTTTGGCAGGTAAATGTGTATAAATGTTTTTACTATATATTGCTATTGTTTCTGATCCTGTCACTGATAACATAATAACATCCGGTGCTAATGGGTTTGGATGAGCGAGGTATTAATGCATACGACTCAAATCCTCTGTATTTTGTTACGAGCAAAGCATATTCCTGATAATCTTTCTATTGATGGAAAACAGACTGCCTCTCTTTTTCCCATGAACGCAATCAAGAAGCAGCCTTTATAAACAGGCTTTACATCAGTTCACAATCAATACAATTGTAAAGAACTTAAATCAGTGACTGGGTGCTCGCTCTCACATGTTTTCATGGGCAGACTTCATGGCCTTGGCGGCGAAGCCCATGTTCTTGAGCACTTCAGTGTTGGTATTGGCGTTCTCCAGAGCCTCTCTCTGGAACTCGATGGTCGACAGCGTGCCGTCGATCTGGGTGAGCTGCTTCTCGTACCGCTTCTTTCTTTTCAAAGCCTGCAGGGCCGCTGAGGAGCGAAAGACAGTTTATTGTCCCAAAAATAGATTGATTGCATTCCACTGACAGGAGGTAAAACTGTGAATCGGGGGGGGGGGGATTGTTTTGTCCTTTAACAGCAACGAGAGCCTGAAAACGTGGTGAAACATTTGCATGGCATATCCTGTGAAATGACAGTGATCCAGCACCGAGTGGAATCATTGACATAATGCTTACTCACCAATCTACCGTGTTAGTGACTCTTAGGTCAACAGGGAGGAGTGTTAGATATAGCTTGTGACTGGCACTCGACTGACGAGACGGAAAGTAGAAATGATTCAGCCACAGCTTTCACATGAGCACAACCTCAGATAGAGTGCAGTGAAACTATACAACAGGTTCAAGACTAAGACTGGCTTCACTCATTTGATCAACCTTTGATCGATTTGATTAAAGTTGATTAAAGTATTCAAGCGATAACAAAGCTTTTTATTGCTTGATATTATATTATTTATTGCTTTATATTGAATGCAGTGTAACACCAAGAGGTCAGCCACTTCTTTACCAACCCTCAGTAAGTTTTCACTGAACTGATAACCTAAAGTATGAGGAGAGGCAGGGCAATATAGTTTCATATCCCATCATTGCAATAACAAATTACATTTTTTCCCCACTTAAGGCGACATAAATCAATCCATTAGTCCGTCCATCGCTTTTTCTCCTTCTCCAGTTCTTTAATCGAGAGCAGCATATCTCTACTACTACTAGCCGGGTCGGCATGACATTTGTTTTGGATATTCGTGATCCTCAAGGATTTATTCTACATTTTTGGATGACCTCTTGATCTGTATTCTAGCAGTATCGTCAGCCCGGAACGTCTACTTACAATCATAATAAACTCAACAACCAACCCACCACATTCACAAGCGTTCCTCCTGATGATAAACAAAGTTCATGGGTCTTTGTATTTGTATTCTAGCATTATTAGCCTCAATAATAATAATATGTCAGACAGCTGTAGGACCCGCTGGAGACTTCAGACCAAGGTGCAAACACGCCCACCTCTCTGACAGTGACAGCACGTACTTTTAACACGAGCACCTCCAATGCTCGACCCTTGTCCGTACACACCGAGCCAACATCTGTACTGATAGTCTATCTGTAGTCCAACAGCTGGAGCTGCACCGCTTGCCACACCTTTTAGATTTTTTTTAAATGGCCACCGATCAATCAGCCGAAAAAATGATCATCACAGAGATGTGGGGGGGAAGACAAGGCTAGTGTTACCGCAGCGATAGTCAAGCATGAGATGATTACATCTGTAACACAAGCGACGTAACAGTCACTTATCTCGGGTGGCAGCCGTGGCCACGACACCGACGGTAGGTGAGGCTGCCGACACTTCTGACAGATGGGGAAAGTTAGCCAACTTAGCTAGCGTGCTGCCATTTAGCTCCGGGTTGTGGACCCGGGCTATTTGGTGATAAAGCCGAGAAACTGTCAGAAAATACGCCCCGATGTCTCACCTCTTTTGTTTTTCGTGCCATTCTTTTTGGCAATTTGCAGTTCCTGTTCGATCTTTTTCTCTAGAAATTCCTGTTTCTTCGTTAGCATCTCCTCCGTCTCTCGGAGTTTCTGGATAGCCTCCTGTGGGCTCGGTCCCTTTCCTCCTTTTCCTCCTCCTCCTCCGAATATCTTCGCGAACAGCGACATATCTGGGGTGCTACAGTTACAATAAGTATAAAAAAATAAATAAAACAAATCTGCGAAACACCCGAGAAAAGCAAGCTTAGCTACCTCGCCGCTAGGCTACACTGACACTTCGCCCTAGCCTGGAAGCTGGAAGGATTGTTGACGTTTTCCTACTTCCTGGATAAGGCCCGATGACGTCATGTTGCCCTATGGAGAGTGGGTTGGGTTTCTGTCTCCATCTGCTGAATAATAATAATAATAATATGTCAGACAGCTGTAGGACCCGCTGGAGACTTCCGGAGCCCTCATTGTCACCATAGACTGTGTATGACCTTATTGTGTATTTAGTTGTTCTCACATATTCAGTTTCGTCTCATTCAATAAAGAGCTTCAACTCATTTCTGAGTATTTTTAGGAGAACCTGCAGGTGCACTTCCCTGCTGCTGGGATACCGGTGAACCTGTGGCCACGCCCAAACCAATGACGTCACGACAGGTGTTTTAGATCAGGTGTCAGCAGGCAGCCATATCAAAAGAGTCGGTTCTGTACCTGAAACAGGATACTAATCTGAATAGAAGTGATCTTTTTGTATGCATATATTGAAGAGTACTGGATTAATTTCACTACATTGGTAATTTTCATTTTAGTTTCAGTGAAGAAGACATTGTGTCATTTAAACATTTAAACGTATGAAATGAAGTGTTTGCATATTCACAAATACTTTGATTTTTCAATCAGGTAGGAGTAAATGTAGGCTACTCCCACTTTGTAATGGAGGCCATCTTTAAAGAGTTTGTAGTCTCAAGGCCCCTGATTATGAGCCCCAGAAGACATTATACAACTGTTTTCACGTGAAAACTGAACTGATCTCTAAAATCAGTGGAGTTTATGCCATTAAGTTTAAAATTGTTTTAAAATCGACTTCCATTTCAGTATGGAATAATCCCCTAATAAGGGCATTGGGTTGGTGGTTCTGCATCCAGGATGTTTTTGCGTGCTCTCTCTCTCTCTCATATCTAAAAGAGGAAACTTTTCACAGAAGCAGACAGTTGGGGGGGTTTATGCATTTTAATTAATTATGATGCTACATCATCCATGGTGGTTGTTTAATTATTTCCTTCCTTTACTACAGTATGTTAATAACTTTGCCAGTTATCTTAAGTATTTTTTATGTACATACAAAAGAGTATCCAATTACTGAAGCACTGATGCCTTGTTTCCCTCTTCAATGTAGTGTGTATTCACAGGTCGGCCCTCCTCCCAGCCGCCCACATTCCCACTTCTCTGCTCCCCGAGGTCCCTCAGGCAACGAAAAATACAAATATCCATTCTTTCTTTTCTTTAACAACCTGCTAAGATGGTCATGTGACAGCCGAGATAATACAGCTGTGTTGTCTCAGTTATCTCACAACCACCAGAGCCCAACATAAAACAAAAGGATAATCGAAAAGGAAACAAAACACACAGAGATAAACCAGACTCAGGATGGTCCCTTTTGAGAAAACTATTTTTTTGTTCTGCCAATATAACGTTAACACTCAAATAATAATCATAATAAATCCAGGTCATTACATGCAGACTGCAGAGTGGACACTTGAATAGTGCATTTGAATATTATAAACAGAAGCATCCGACTACAAGATAATATAAGAAAAGAAAAAAATAATAAATTGCTGTAATACACTAGAGAACACAAATACAATACTTCATGAGCAAAGTTAAACAAGGTGGCAAAAGCTATTGTTACATACTGTATGTTATATATTGTAAAGGTCTGTTGGAAAACGTCGGTTTTACATGACGAGTGCACTAATTTAGGGGATTTATTGTCATTTTGGTCAAGTGGCTCTCTCTCAACCCGAGGAAGCAATTACCTAGAACATGTAAGTGTGACGTCTTGAACTAAATCTAAAAAACAGCTTTGCTTTTTTAACTACATCACCATGCAGCATGAATTCTTTATTTTGACGGTTATAGCTTTCAAATGGCAAAAAAAAAAAGAATCAAGTTTTAATCTGATTTTCAACAAAGAACCCCATTTTTCAGTTGTGTGCAGGAAATCTATTCAGATGACGGTTTAGTTTTCAAACCACCCCCTCTTCCTTCGTTCTGAAACAGCTGGTGATTTCACTGTTTGTGATCTCCTCTCATAAAAACAGCCACAAACAGTCACATCAGCCCCTCCTGCAGGAGGCAAAATCAAGAGGACACACACTCACAAACACACACACACACACGCGGCTTCTACTGGCTCACATTTTTACCACATACCGCTTAGAAAACAATACATTGAGTTTTAATCTAGAAAAAAAAAAAAGTCTTTCACTGATCACTTGTGTTCACCTCTTTTTGTAGATTATCAGTAATAAGTGGAAGAGAGATTATCAGAAGAAGCGTTAGATCTTTCTTATAGACTATGTGAGAGAGGAACTTGAAGACTTAAGAATCAATAAAGAATCAACAGAAGACATTCATTCAGCGTGAAGCCACTCCCACACACCACTAAACTGTTACCTGTGCAAGTTGCGGAAGATCATTTAGGAAGGAGGGATGGATGGAAAGGACAGATCAGAGGTGGTGATTATTTCACACGCAAAAAAAAGAAGACAAAAGGCAAGACCTGTGACAAAAACCCTCAGTTTAACTTGCTTCATTCTCTTTTTACACATTAAATTATTTTCCATCCAGACAAACTATCATGGTATTGCCTTAAATGTTAAAAAAGAAAGAGAAACAAACATAAACCCAGAAGACATCCCCGTTGCCGCCATCACCACGTGTCCTGCCGAGCACGCCGTCCGCCCCGTCTGTCACTGTGCTGTCTGTCTGTCTGTCTGAGTCTCTACAGGGCCAGCTTGCCAATGATGACTCCAATGACAAAGAAGAGAACACAGAGTGCCAGGATGCGGGTGCTCAGGCCTTCGTCCCTCATGGCCGAGGTAGCCATGGCGGAGGAGGAGGAAGAGTGAGGCGAGCCCATTGAGGTCACCTTTCTCTTCCGCAGCCCGTCGTCCTCCTGCGTTTAAGAGACAGAGCAGTCAGACCAGCTCAGCGCACACACACACACACACACACACACACACACACACACACACACACACACACACACACACACACACACACACACACTCAAACGGACGTTGCAAGCAGGTAGAATGTTGCCGTCTTAAAGTGCTGTCGGAAAACGTCCAATCACGAGCTAAGTTCACACAAATCCCCTTAATTAAATACAACACTACAGTCTCACGACAACTTTGTTGCCTCGGTGTGACGAAGACATAAGCCTCTAGATTGAAATACAGAAAAGCGTAGATTTAATGTAAAGACCTGATTGTTGGAGGCATGCGACTTCTGAGGCGGATTACTGACAGTAATATCCGGATGTAATTTGGTGACATTTTTGACAGCAGATAGCTACTCTCCCTGTACAGCAGAGAGGAGCCTTTGGACTGAAGCTCTGCCCAATGCAAGAAAAGGTTATTTATTTTTAATTGAATCATTTAGAGGCTGCTGGCCGTACCCCTGGAAGAGGGAACATTGTCCCTGGCACTGGTACATAATGTCACCTGATATGTGCAGCTTTTAACTTCTACAGCCTCATTGGAGGGGGGTGAATGGCAATGACTGACAGTTGTTCAGTTTTCATGTTCAGTTTCCAGCAATACAGCACATGTCAAAGTCTACCAAATAATTTTTCACCTCTAGTTGTATGATGGCCGTCATTTAAACAATCATTTCATGTCAGATGATTATTATTTTAATGTCAGTCTGTGTACGGTACGAGGCTCAAAGAGAACGCAGACATATTCCCTCTTTGTTTGTGCGCGTCTCACCCTGATCTGTTTGTTTTCTTCCCGTAGCCTGTGCACCTCCATCTGCAGCCGCTTGCACTCCTCCATGATCTTCTTCACCTCCCCGTCATCCAGCGAGGCACTGGCTGACTTGGGCAGTGTGGAGAGCTCAGACTTAACAGAAGAGGGAGAGGAATACTCAGTTTGGTTGGTTTCACTCTCATGCTGTGGAAGAGAGAGTGAGGGTGGGGGAGGGGATGAAGGGACATGCAGAGAGAAGTGGTAGAGAGTGAAATGAAAGGACAAATGAATCATAAATGAATAAATAAGCATGTAATGGGTGATACAGTGATGTGTTGCTGATGGGTAGGAGACTAGAAAAATGCAATGTGAATGTTTTAATCTGATATGATTCATAAATCTGCATACGTTTAAACCTGTGAAGTACGTGAGTGAGACTTACAGTTTTGTCATTTTCTAGAGGCATCTCAAATGCACATCTCAGCTTTGAATCCATCAGCTCTTCAGGCTTTGCCTCCTTCCACTGTGGACAAGAACAAGGAATAAATAAATACATCAACAAGAACATAATCCCAAATCAGATATTATGCTCTGGTACTCACAACTCCTTCCATGTCAGTCATGCCGTACGGGGCCAGCATGGACTGCACCATGAATTTGTGTTTACTCTTTTCATTGGGGTCGTAGTCAAACGGCTGGAGCATAACTGTGGACCAAAACAATGACAGAAAGGAGAGCCAGAACGTTAGGGAAAGAGTAACTTGGCCTCATAACAAGTATTACGCAACCTGTAAATGAAAAGACGTCAGTCAGGTTTATGATCTGGGTTACACTGTGACCTGCCTGGATGATCATTTATTTAGTCATTGAAGAGTACAATGAGTTTGATTTCCATGACAGTCATACAACCGATAGAGGTTTATCAGTATGTGCAGAGTGTGCTTACCCAGTGACTGCAAAGATTGTACAGATATGCCTCCTGATGTATCCGTACAATCACTGATGGAACTGAGGTTGGAAGATTCATGTTGGTAATGTATGGTAGCTTGATACAACTTTAACACGGTCTTGTTATAGCCTGCATTCGAGTAAAATGATACTACTTATGTAAGCGGTAGTGCTGGGTGAACTTATCAATAAATGCCTCCTCCTGCTTGGCCATTAGATCCACAGATGTAGTGATTTTTTTCCCTCAGATACCAAATACCAAATACCTAGCCCTAATTTAAACATATAGTCTGAAAGTAAATATAGATCATCACAATATTAATGCACCAAGTCAAAAATACAGATATCTGATTGCATCAGTATCATCTGAAGGAGATGCGTGGTTTTGACCGGGCTTTTCACCGATGCTGGCAGAAGATGCAAACATTTGTACGAACCAGAAACATTGACGGAGTTTCCGGGGTCAATGTCGCCACTGTTTGGGCGCACACAGTATCTGCGAGGCGCGGTTGTCTTGACTTTGAAACACACATTTCTATCCGTGGGGTTGGTGAGCTTCAGCGTGGCAGTGACGACATCGGTAAACGGGCCTGAGGAGGACACAGAGAAACAGCACGGTGACTTCAGGGTGGGAGAATTTACACTCGTATTTACTGGAATGGGCTTTTGTCATTTGTGTGCATGGCTTAGCTATCTAGTTGAGATTCAAAACCGAGTGGGCATGTATGATAAAGTACATAAGTACATTGTGTGTCTGCAGGGATGAATTTACAATTAGTGTTTGTGAGGTGCTCCTCAGAGTCTGTCGTAAACATCGCACATTAAACATTTAAACAGTGGTAAGAGGAGCAAAGTGTGCAAGCATTTACGTCACTAATCATGCCCCGCCCTCAGCCAAAACCTGGACACTGTAGGAAAATTACTGTTTTTTGTTTTGTTGCTTGTATAGCACGTAGATCACCCTCATTAGACTGTCTGATCATGTTTAACGGAACATTTAACAGCTTTTCAAAACTGAACCTTGGTTTTTAGAAATGTGTTTTGGACAAGTAACCTCACTGTGGTCGCTCACCTCACCTCCCTTTCTGCTCTAATCAGATGCACTGAGCATCAGTAACTGGGTGGGAAGTATGCATCTTATTCTTGGGTTATCGCTGCATTCCAATCTCTGCAATAATCAATCAGAGAACAAACAGCTACTGACTGAGCCCATCTCTTTAGGCCATCACTTGACCCATTTCTACAGCAATATCACACACACCCAAAGGCAGTAATCTCAGAATGTAGCCATTATCCCTGGCATACCAGCTAAGTCTGTATTTTCACAATCTTTCTGCCTGTATACAGAAAAGCTGGAAAGGATTTTAGGTTGCACAGTGAAAGTAAACTGGCAAATCTCCCAAACACAGCTTGCTAGATTAGAAACCCGTGAAATAAGCATGGTAATGAGGCTAAGAAATTACATCCTGATCGCAGAAATTGCTAGAATAGTCGCTGCTTGGCAGTCGGGTGTTCGTAACATCTACAGGGAGGCGTATGTCAAAAGTATTACGGTAGATCACATCACGGTGTTTTACGAGCTATCAGACCATTTAAAAAAAACCAAAGCATATGGAGCAAATCAGTGAATGTGGATTAGAGCAATGTGACGGGGGGCCTGCCCTGACGCTGCAATGACAGCTAGGAGTTTGACTTGCTAGCTAGGTTAGCTAAATGCTACCTAGCTAGTTAGCATCGTCGCACACAGAAACAGTGTCGTTTCATCTGTCATCGCCACTGCTGTCGTGCACACAGTGTAGACTACAGCTAACGTTAGCATTGACCGTCTATCTAATTTTAATAACGGCACCAACTCATAACGACACATTTGCACACGTAACTGGCCAATGCAGAGATCGATGCGGTGGCCGTTAATAACGACTCCGTGGTGAACGTTTGCTACCTAGCACCCGGCCCTGCCCTCTGGTTCAGCGTTTACCTTACCTCTGAACTTCAGTTCATGTTGTGGCTCTAGCACCAGGACTTGTTCTGGTCTGGCCATGTCCCGGAGCTTCTTCCTGTCGTGACAGCGAGGACAACAGTAATTTACCACAGGTGACGTTAGCCCGAGGAGGTGAAGCAGCTGGCTCCCGGAGAAACGACCCGGCCGTCCACGGTGTGTCTTACGGGATGGAAGGAGGATACGGTTACAAATGCACCACCACTCGGACTGACTGGTTGGCTGACTGAGTGCCACCGACAGCTGCTGGGGGCTACCTGCTAGCGCTAACTCTGCTAACAGCGGAGGAAAGACGGAAAGGAAGGAAGGCGACGTCACGAGAGGGGCGGTGCTGGGGCCAAATGTCACGTGGTTCCTTGACCGCTGCAAAAACAAACTATCACACCTTGAAATGTTTACGTTAAAAAAAAATAAACGCTGTTAACATTTTCTTATTTATTAATAAAACTAAATAACAAATATATAACATGACCTTAATAGTAGCTATGGCCCTACTATGGACATCTACAATACCATGAAATACTCTTACTAGCAGTTTATGTTAGTATTTTATCCCTCATGTTTTTCTAACTTTGTATTTCTGTCATCATATGAATCATGAAAGAGCTGAATCAGAGGGGTACAAAGCTGCAGTCTTAAATCAGATCCAACCGTTGGGAGTTGCATTTTATTACACTCTGACACAGAAGCTGTGATTGATGATTATTCCATAATTCCCAGAATCGTACTACCTTTGTCCTTTTCCCGAGCAAAATGACTATTCAGTTTCTTTTCCGGGCCCAATGTCTCTCACTGAAACACAGAGAAATTCCCTGGTAGACCGTAACACCAGTTATATATTTTGATATACGTTACCTTAGTCACCAATGTTCATATTTTGTGATCCCTCAGACTTATTTGTTGAATTTCATATTTGCTGCATGTCTTAATAGCTGACACTTAATTGCATTTAATACAGACATCAGATGTCGGGTACGACTGTTTACCATGCTTTGCTTTTCCTTTCACAGACAGTTCACCTTTACTAACTTCAAGTTCACTTTTACAAATGGATTATTTTCCAGGGGGAATTAAAGCCGCCTCAAATCCCATCATACTCCACTTTTCATGGAAAACTAATTTAAGGTAGGCAATAGGCTGCTACTTGTGTTGCAGCTAATCCTGTATACTGTAAAGCAACAATTCTCACCAAAAGCAAAATTCAGTCATTTTCTACTTACCTCCTAATCAAGATGGTAGTCTCACCAAACGGACGGAACTTGCTCCTGAACATCAAGCTCAACTATTGGTTGCATAGCAATCATTGCACAGCTCAAAAAGCATCAAATCTAACACTTTTACAAGATAAATGTTTGCATTTGAAAACTCACATTGTGGCTATAAAACACTTGGGCTTTTGGATAAATTTAAGATTGGATACTTGTGTATATCCACTATGTATATCAAGCATATTTGGTCACAAAACTTCATTCCCTTGGGGGGAATGAAGTTTTGTCTTGTATTTGCAGTATAAAAGATACAAAAGTTTAATTTAACACTTTGTGAGTGAATTAACTCGCTGTGTGTGCATTTGGTGGTGTGGAGTTAACACAGGGACTGGTTGAATAATTACCAAAATTTGGGGTAAAATTATTCTTCTCAACAGTTTAATTTCTTACTGTGGTCAAGGAAAAACCATAAACGTATATCGGGAGTAGTATTTCCCAGAATTGGGTTGGATATTCAGAACTTTCCTCAGTATATTTTTACCTTCAGGGACCCCCTGAGGAGCCAGCTGCAGGTTAAAGGCCACTGGTTACACTTTCATTAGGGAACAACTCGTTATTTAATTTTCAACCTGAATTACCACATTGTTTACCATCAAAACCAGAGGCCGTCCTGTCAGGAACTGATTTTGCAATCTTTATGGTCGTCCCAAAAAATACATACTCTGCGAATCTGAGGAGGAAATGACTGGTAAACGAACAGGAAACTTCACTTCCTCTAGCGTGGATTTACAACACTTGTATAAAAAAATGTGGGGATAAGAGTGCAAAAACGCAGTTTTTGTGAGAAAGTAGAGAGTATTGTGGCCGGTGTCTGAGTGTGTTTACATACGTCATAACAGACCTGTCGCTGTCTGCACCAAAAAAAACCAACCTTTATTATCATATAGAGCTTCTGTTCAGAAATTAGAGACCCATATTTGTTGTACACATTAAATAAGGACGAGGGCTCTGAAAGGAGAGAGATGCTAATACTGTACAGGCCGTCTCTGCTGTGATTCAAAATAATTAACTGAAATGGATTTGTTTTTTTGTTGGCCTTTTTTTTTTTTTTAGCAAAAGAATAAAATTTGTGTAGAAACAAGCACTGTTTTGCATTGGTCATCTCCTCTTTAACCCTTCAGGACATCCTTTGCAGATGTCACTGAAAGACAACAAAAGAAACCTGAACACAACTTCAGTTGAAAGCATTTAAGTTATAGCAATACGCACACTATCAAGTGTACAATTTGTCAAGGTTCATTTGATTCTAATAAAATACTTTTTTTTAAAACCCATATACATTTCATATATTTATCTTTTTGGGGTATATGGATTCAAAAATAGACATTTAAATCATAAAGAGAGAATGGGAGAGAGAAAAAAAAAAAAAAAAAAAAGAAGCTACGAATGGTTGCCCTCCGTCAGAGAGAGAGAGAGAGAGAGAGAGAGAGAGAGAGAGAGAGAGAGAGAGAGAGAGAGAGAGAGAGAGAGAATTGGCCAAGCTATACAGCGCAGTATGACACCCACTTTAGCTCATTACACACGTACAGTCGTGATCAAGGCACAGGGATCTTCTAAAAGTTATTTTTTTTCAATAAAGTTGTACAAAATAATACATTTTACAGTCTGTACAAGAATAATAGTTCAGCAGTAATGTAAAGACAGACATACATAGGAGCAAGAGGTCAGGGAGGAAGGAGGTGAGAAGAGGAAAGATGGAAGGAAGGCAGAGGGAGGGAATGGCAAGAAGGTGCGAGCAGGCTGTTTGACCACACCAGTATAAAAATAACAGAAAAACAAAAAAAACATTAGTGTCCCGTTTGTTGTCTTATTTTTTTTATATTTCAGGATTATTATATTTAGTTTTCTATTGAAAAGAGCACTGCCAGGAAGGTAGAAGTGCAGATGGGAAGGTGGTGGTCAGGAGGAGGGGGAGTGAAGGAGAACATATATGAGAGAGAGAGAGAGAGAGAGAGAGAGAGAGAGAGAGAGAGAGAGAGAGAGAGAGAGAGAGAGAGAGAGAGAGTTTGGGGGGGGGGGGGAGGAGAAATGTCAAGATGGGGGAGTAAAATCATCAGATGAAAGAAGAGGGGTGGAAAAAAAGAAAAGAGAGAACAACTGAGACAGAGAGAGTAAAGATAAAGAAAGAGAGCGCACAGGGCACAAAGTCTACACAGACAAAAACAGCTGTGGAGACAGTAAAACAGGGTCAATCATGACAAGACGAGAGCTCTCTTTAAGGATGCTTTCTGCCCTCCATCAGTTAAGCTCCACAAAAGTTGGTATTTTTCTTTTTTTTGTTGTTTCTTTTTGTTTTAAACTCAATGTTTCCTCCTCACGTTTTGCTCCACTACCAACGAGACGAAGTCAGGTGGCAAAACAGGTCTGTGGAGAAGTCGAGGGACCGTCATCGTCGTCTCTGTCAAACGTGTCTAAGACTCCATCAGGGATTCACATCGGAGTTGGCTCTGTCCTGTCCCCCCCTCCCCCCCACTGCAGCCCAACTGGTCACAACACACCCCTGGTCCGTTTAGTCTGTGGCAACGCTGCTGCTCGGGGCTCAGCTGCGCAGTCAACTCAGCTCCTTTTAATCTCAAAGCACTGCGCCGGAGAAAATCAGCTGACAGCTCGACCAGCCTGCCACTCGTCTGCAGATCAGTACATATCCGGAACCAACCGGTTGTGCAGTCCAGTTAAAAGCAGGTGTGATACGTTTCTGTGTGCGAGCAGATCCTGTGGTGGAAATTCTGAATGTGTGTAAGTGATCGGAAGGATTGGTGTTCACGGTTTGAGTTCTGAGCACAGTGCTTTTTGTGAGTTTTTCTTGTTAGATACAGTGTTCAGCTGATCTGCTATGACATGTTCCTTCTCTATTTGCAATAATTCAACAGTTATCCATTTTCCGAGTTGCACTGAAGTAGTAGCTCGCTCCGTTATTTATTCCGGCCTCAACAAGAGGGAAATCTCACATTCTCAAGCCTCCACACTGCAGCACATACGGTCCACAGACTGGGCCGGTCTGCATTTCTAGAAAGGTGAGGGGAACGTGTGTGTGTGTGTGTGTGTGTGTATGGGGACGATAGATGTTGAGAGGTGTGGAGCTGGGAGTATGGCTGAAGGTGGAGATCAGAATCCGTTCATGTGTTAACCCCTAAAAGCCCTTCCATCAAAATAGCTCAGTCTACTGCAGATAGGGAGTTTGCATCAGGGGAAGTTCTGTGTTGAGGGTGTGTTAACTGTGTGTGTGTGTGTGTGTGTGTGTGTGTGTGTATGTTTTGGCCCCCGTTCCTTCACTAGAGCTCACACACTTTTGTGGAAGAGGGGAGTTCAGAGACTCAGGGTTTTTCATAGTCCAGTTCATGTGTTTTTGGCCGAACACTTCTTTTTATTTTTTTCTCCCATCACAACAGCTCGTACTGTCGCAGGTGCATCCGCTGAATGATGTCTCGACAGTCGTTGAAGACGCGACGGATGTTTTCCGTGTCGACGGCGCAGGTGAAGTGGGGGTAACAGTAGTGCCTCCCGTCCCCGCTGGCTGTACTGATCCTCTGTAGACGGAGAAAGGAAGAGTGAGAAACTATTTCACTGTGTATAGTACGACTAACACAGCTGCTGATTGTCTGTCGTCTCAGCAGCTGTCTCCAATTCCTATTTTGAATAGAGAGCCGATGCAAAGCAAACACACAAAGACCCAGTGGTTCCTACTGAAGATACATTTTTAAAAACATGTCACAAATGCATATAGTTTTTTTCTTTTTCATTTAAAAAAAAAAAAAAAAAAGGAAAAAATAGTTTCCTAAAACAGCTGGGCAATGCAGCTGTAAGCAAACGTTACTCAAACAGGAGCAAATAGTGCATTTCTCTGGGACTATTTTCCACCGCGGATTGATACACATTTGGTGCTGCAGTGAGTGTTTACAGCAGTAGATCAGTGTATGCGGGATAAACCTCTAATTTGAACAACAATAGAGGTGTATGACAGAGAGAAATAAGCTCTCAAACTAGATTTGTTAATGTGATCAGTTTATTGTTGGTTTTGGTCTTATCATGGGATTTGTTTACATTTTGCATGTTACAGAGCACAAAAGCAAACCTATGCTTATAGCACTTACCAGGAATTCATCTCTTATGAAGTACTTTGCTCTTGTAACACGCGGATCTTCTCCAGGCTCCGGTGTCGCTGGAAGAGGAGGGAGAGGCTAATGAACCCACGTTTCTTATCATAGGCAATCTTTTCAGGTGGAGAATATTCAAACACGAATGGACCATAGAACAACCAGGGTGGCTTTTCTGGGCTTTCATTAGTAAGCAGGAATACATTATGATGTCAGTAATTATGTAACAAGTTGAGGAAGTGAGTTATATTCCACGGCATTGTAAAAATCCTTCACATACAGGTGTGTGTGTGTGTGTGTGTGTGTGTGTATCAAGGATGACCTATTGTGCTCAGTGTACCTCACAGATTTATTGTTTGGCGGAACTGTTTTAATGTAGAGGAAAAACTTTATATTAAAAGCAGAACTATCGTTGTACGTGTTGGTGTATCTCTGTGGAAGCACAGGGATGTTTCTGTATGCTCAGGAAAGTGTTATTGTGACAAGCAAGGCATTTCTTTAAAAACTGACATATTTGGCACAGGTGGTGGAAAACTGGGACATTTGGCATGTTTTTTTCAGAGACCAGTTTCCAGCTGGGACAGTTTGAGGCAGTTTGGTCTGGTCACCCTACTTTACGAACAACAACTAGATGATTTCCTGAAAAAAAAAAAAAAAAGCAGCTTCCAAAGGAGATATTTACAAGTTGAAAAGGGCCAGCTGTATTTGCACAGCTACTAATATGAACAGTGCTGCTGAGAAGCTATAGTGAACCTCTTAACTACTTTCACACCTCCCTGTCTAAGTTAATGGCCGAATGAGGTCAAAGTGTCCAGAAGTGGAGGCAACTGCTCACCATCGTCAGGTGTGGTGTAGCGAGCAAATTCAGGAAAGTATTCCTCGATTTTGGACTTCCCTGCCAGCACCTTCTCTGCTAACAGGTCCTGTTTATTCAGGAACAAGATGACAGAAATGGTCCGCAGCCACCTGAGGAGAGCAAAACACCACGAATCAACATCACATACTGAACTATAGCACCGGGTCCGAGTGGGAACAGAGACACAGGAAGAAATCACTACGAGTTGGACAAATAAATTCAAACGGGGGGTCAGTGGGTGACGGCTCCATCTGCAGATGACATTAGATGCTTCCTAGAAAACACTTAATACTGGATGGATCCCAACTGGAGAAAGATGAGTTGTGTTTCCTGAAAAGACTTAACGGCTCAGAACATTTTGACTGTTTGGGTTTAGAGCTAGGACAAATACATTTTAACCGAGGCCTTAAAACTCTGTGATATGCGACAGTCTAACCTGCATACATGCTACCATGTGACTCGGTGGTGCGTTCACACAACATAACCGAGAGCAGCCTGTTCATACTCTCATCCATAAACTACCATTTGAACGTTAATATGATCCTGAACATAACTTAACCCTTTCAGATGATAATCTAGTTCAATCTAAGCTAAAAGGACAATAGGAGAAAGTTGAAATAACTTTCCAGGACAGCAAAACATTTCCAAAGACATTTTACATTTTCCTCCTGTGTTTTCACTGACTGGAAGAATTGGTCCACTCTTTCCAAGGTTTGGAACTGGGAATCTGTGTAAACACACTTTTCCCACCATGTGTACTTCTACAGAATGACAGAAAACAACATGCAGATGCAGTATCTGTGTCTCGTCACCTGTTGTTCCAGATGTTCTTGAAGAGGTTGAGGGCCTCCTGTAAACGGTTGGTCTGATTGTCCTCTCTGATCACCATGTTGTAACTGCTACTGGCCACCACGAAGATGATGGCCGTTACATCTGAGGACGAGAGAGGGACAGAAATAAATCAGACACGGGGACGGAAGAAGACAAGAGCCGAGGCAAGTGAGAGGGAGCAGAAATAAAGCACAAGTTACCGTTAAAGCACTGAATCCATTTCCTGCGTTCGTCTCTTTGACCGCCAACATCAAACATACTGTGTAGAACAAGAGACAGCGGTGTTGACGGGTCAAATACTGCCATCATGTGGAGAAACTAGAACTTAGATTCTCATTTGTTTATATCCTGAGTCATTGTACGTGTTTAATACTGAAGCGATGGAGGACATTTTAATGTATACTGTTGTTTCACTTCCATTTTCTTCCTGTGTTTTTACTCACTGGAAATTAACTTTGTCCACTTGGAATCTCGTCTCAAAGATGCCTGAAGTCAGAACTCTGCACCGCAGCAAATCCTGGTAAAAAAAACAAACAGGAAATGTAACAAAAATGTTCCTAAGATCATAAAGACATCCAGCAGGATTTTGAATGCTTACACAGCGAAACTGGAGCAAGCTTTAGACTCTGCAAATGGCTTCTGTGGCCTGAACGTATTTTACAAGTCAGGGTGAGAAACGAGATGTTTATATTTTCCGCCCCTACTTTCAGACTCGTATCGGGCAACTTGGGTTAAAAGACTCCATAAGATTCATCTTTGATGGTTTAGAAAAATATGTCTAATTAATAACACTATAAAGAAGCTCTGCTGCTCTACTCCAGGTTAAAAATGTAAACAGAAAACGCACCACTCAGATAAAGACACAACACTTCTATTTACTCTCAAACACGGGTGTGCGTTGTTCAACTCGAGGAAGTGTTATCAGGGATGCCAAACCGTAACAGACTGCTTATTAATGACATGATATAGACAAGACTTTCAAAACCGTCTTCATCTTGAAATACCTCTGTGTGAAAAGAAGATACACACGTGTAGGATATATTAACTTTGTGAGATTCACCCACCTGATCTGTTGGAGTGTAGTCATTCTGTTTCACAATGTCAATCTTGTCTAGAAAGCTGAGGAGAAAGAAAAGAAAATGACTGTAAAAACACTGTTATGGGGATAATATTACTGCTGAGATTGTGAGATCTAAACGGTTTCATTAAGGTGTGGACTTGTTATGTGGCCCAGTGCTGGTTCTTAGCATCACAGGTGAACTAGGTCACAGGAAAAGGAAACGAGCCGTGAACGTCTCACAACAGTACGAGAGTCTAAGGACTTCTGTGTATTCCTGAAGAACAAAGTGAAAAAGAAATGGCTAAAAAGAAGTGCACATGAAAGGTGAGATGAGAGTGCACGTGAAGGAGGGGCAGACAGACAGAATGACAGCACAGAGCCATCTGTCTGACATTACAGAGCACGTTTCAAAAATAGCTCCCCTGCGCCCTGGCCTCCAGCATGGTTACCATGGAGACCCAACCGCAGGCGCTAATAATAGTCTATCAGCTCCCAAATCTAGTACGACAGGCAGACAGACAGACAGACAGACAGACAGACAGACAGACAGACAGACAGAGATGTAGAAAAGAAAGCCCTGGGAGAAGAAGAAAGCAAGAAACAGGATGAGTTTGAATGTTTATGCTTTAATGTGTGAGCGAGAGAAGGGAGGGAACAAAAGACTGGACTGTACCATCTCAACCACCTGAGGGGGGGGGAATAGGGGGAAGAGAGTTTCTCACCGTGTAAACTTTAAATAACACCAACCTAAAGTGCTGAATTAAAAGCATGTTATATTCACCAGTTTACACTTAACTTACCAGATTTACCAGTAAAAACCTGTTGAGGCTACAGGCTCACAGTCCTCCTCACACATCACCCCCTCTCCTTTAAACATCCTCTGATCTGCAGATGACTCAGCCTCGGCCATGTTTGCTCACAAACACTGCAAACTGCTGCTGTTACATGAAAACTACTCCACCATAATCTCTCTTCTTTCTCTGTGTTTTTACCTGCCTTTGCTTTGTCTTAGCTATCATTTCCAGTCAACTCTGAGCTGTAAAAACACATTTTAGATGCCCTTGTGCAATGAAATACATAATGTATCATTTAGAGTTTGACAATGAGAAAGGTTATGTTTTTGGAGACTATACAGGGTGAAAGATCCTTAGGCAGCTAAGTGAGAAGTCTTAAAGACAGGTGGCAGTGTTGTCAACTACACACATTTGAAACTGTATCGACATTAATTAAGTCTGAGATGTTGAACATGTACATCAATAAAGAGACTTTAGTGGCTGCTTCATGTGTTTGAGTGAACACTGCAGCCTCATAAACTGGTCAGCTCGGCTTCGAGCATTTCCTGACATTTCTCCATGCTTCCACTGATAAAAACGTCTAAAAATCCGTCGACTGTTGCAAACTGACTTGGAGTAAAATAATGGTAGAACAAGCAAAGATGTTGCTTATATTTGTACCACCTATGCATGGACTTAATGCCACTTATCAGTTTATACAGGAAGGAAATAAAAAAAATTCTCCAGTGAATAATCTGACCTGAATTAATTTCCACTGCATGCCAGTGTAAAATAACATTATAACAACATGTGCTAGGTACACGTGGAGGCTCAAGTCATATCTCTGAAGTTACCTAATGGGCACCACGCTCGTGGTGGTGTCCTACAGCTGCCACTAGATGTTACCGAAGAGCCAAATCCTACAGCACCTTTGTGATTGTACAGGAACTGTTTACTTCTAAGAATGTATTTTGTACATTTTATACTGGAGGCACACCACCTAGCCTGAAATTAAATCAATCTGTCTGATTGGCAGATCTATCACAAATACACACACACATTAAATGGGACTGTGCACCTAATGAACTGGTACCTCAGCGTAGAGACCATGTCACCGTGTAGCTGGTACTTACTATTGTGCACAGTCGATTAGCTGGTACTCGTTGGATCTCTCGAAGCACGCCCTGACCCCCTCGTCCTGCCACAGTGTCTTTGCATGGGCGTAAAACTCCTGAGGAGGAAACAGAAATACATAAAAAACACACTCGGTTTCGTCTCGTGGCAATGTTATAATTACATGCAAAAAGTTGCAATCTTGATTAAAGCTTGATTAAACAGGGTCAACTAACGTTAACTGACATTCTGTGTTGTTTACGGTGCAGCTTACACCAAATATGACAGCGAGAAGACAGAGAGGAGGGCAGGCTTGTGTGTCTGAGGGCACCGGGAGCGAAGACGTTTTTGTTGACACCACATGCGGTGTACGTTGTGCTGAGGCGATGCCTGTGTACATGTCTGTAAAGGTCAATAGCGGTGGAGGATAACAGAGACACGTCACCATTAGTGGTGTAACGGACCACTGTTGATCCGTGATCCGTCTGGATCCCCCCTCACGGATCGACACACATGTGAACCGCGGATTAATTACACCGTTTAACGTCAACCATCACAGTGTGAAATAAAGTTTTACCGACGATCGTTATCCGCCAATATTAAGTAAAATATGTAATCAGGACGTCGGCATTCATGCTTTTCTTGTCGCCGATCTCTGATGATGTTACATTGTAAACAACGGTTCCTTTGGGTTACATTGTGATGCGTTCAGGCTCTGTTCAGTGAAAATGAGAATTGGCCGGAGGTAAATTATAACATTATCTAAGCAGCTTATAATACATCATTAAAACTACTAATGATAAGATTAGTTTTAATCCATAAAAATACAATATTTTATTTCCTTATCATTTGAATTGTGTGTTTCTATTTAGAAAAAAAAAAAACACACTCTAGATGACTATAACAAAGTAAAAGGATAACATTTAGAATTTTTGATGGTTTACAGACTTAATAATTTTTGGGACAGTGGCAAAAAAAGAAATAGTCTGGAGCCTTGTAGACCAGCTGCTATAATCAAACAACAAATGGATCTGTATCTGTCAATATGGATCATCAATGATCAGCAATTAGTATCAGCAGCTAAAAGTTATATTCGTTTCCTTTTTTCTTTTGTGCTGATCCGAATCGTTTTATGATCCGTTGCACCACTACTCACTGACACAAACACTGGCTACTTCCTTGTTTCAGAGTGGGAATACACAGACACCCGTCTGTCTGGCCCTTGTACACACACATTTATATCAATTATGTAAAACTAGAACGGAATAGATCAATTAGCTATGTGTAATGATCTGCTATCCCATGTTTAGTAAAGCATAAAAGACAACCAGATAAATGAACAGTGTCACAGTGTCACACACACACACACACACCTCAGTGTTGGGGTGTCACACGCTGGGTCATATGCTCTTGTTTGCCTTAGGTGCTGATTTTCTGGTCTAACCTTGCATAGATGCTTACATCCCCATCACAACCTCCAGACCAATACACGCCGAGTCACAGATACGCAGACACACACACACACAACTTTCCATTTAGCTCCTTGAAACAAACACAAGACAGGGATGTGAGTTGGAAACCAAAAAGCAAGAAGAAGAGGGCAGTGAAATTGTAATCCTTTGTAAGAAATACTTACGGGACTAAATTTAAGAACCGAAAATGCAAAAACAGACAATGAAATTGACATCCACATCCAGTGTGGAGTCTCTCAAGTAGATTGAAAAGCAGAATAGACTTTCGCCACCCTGTTTTGTAACTTGGAAACTATGCCATGCTCGTCATAAGCAAGTCAACCAAGTAAAGCCAAATTGCAGCCGTAAACAAATAATTGCTTCCCAACAGCTCTGCACGAGTGGAATTCCTGGGGCAGCAGGGTGATTTGGTGGTTAAAGAGAGCCTCCCGCAGAGGAACACTCACACATTTGATTCCTGTAGCAGCTGAAGTGTTGCTGAGTAAGACAGTTTGCTGTCTGCTTACTTACTATAAATTAATTAGCAGAGAAAGCCACCATGTGGGTAAATAAATGAAATCAATGCATCTGGTGAAGATGGTCACTTGACTTGTCTATACATGTGCTGCCCTCTAATAGTTTTGAACCCTGTGGATATAAATTTGATCATTATCTTCCATAAGTAACTTATATTTAATCCATTTCTGTATAGTTTATCATAAGTGAAGAGAAAATCAATTAAAACCATCCACTGTAAAGTAAAACTGTGTGTGTGTGTGTGTGTGTGTGTGTGTGAATATTAAGGGCCAGAGATGAACCATGACAGCAACTGAAAAATTCAACAGATTTTTTGTTTAGCTAATATAGCTAAACCTCAGAGTTATATAAAGCCTGTTTGCTGGATTGTAGCGTCTATACATCAGTCTCTGCATTCTTGTATCTCTAAAGTAACATGGTGTGCAACAAGTTGTATTTATGTAAAGGCCCAGGTTACACAGCCTACATCTCATTTTCCTTCCTTTTACCTCTTTTGCTTTGTGATCATGAATGAAATCGTTATTAATAAAAATGTTTGGCATACAATTACTTGATTATCGCAGTAGTTACAAATGAATGTTCTGATGATTAACTAATCAGCTGATCTAATCATCGTTCTACACCCTTGTTTGGCTCAGTTGCTTCACTACCACTCGCTTTGTGCCTTTAATTGCAACGTTAACGACCTGTTAGCGAGAGGAATCTCGTCAGCTGCATCGTCACTTGTGTGTGTAAAAAAAAAAAAAAAAAAAAAAAAAAAAAAAAAAAAAAAAAAAAATTCTTTCATTGTGCAGTTTTTCCATGACAGCAAACTCATCATGTGTTTACTAACAGAGCGCTCTTTTATAATCAGTCATGCTATTCACTCTTCCTCCCTTGATGTAACACACTCCCTCTTTCACAGCCTCCCTTTCTTCCTCTCTCTTTCTTTACTGTTACAGAACGACAACAAACTTTCAAACTGGGCAGCCAGGAAGAAATAAATCCTTGATGTGCGATGAGACACCATCAATCCCCACAAGGAGGTCAGAGTGCAGCATCGGTTTAAAAACAGAACCATTAGGGCTGGAAAGCAACAAGTGTCTTGCTCAAGGACACTTCAGCAGGGGCTCATGTGTGGGCACTAGTTCGGTAAGGACAGTTCACCCGGTTTGCTGAAGGTCTTCATCTGTTTGGAACGAAACAAGAGGCGCTTTCGCTGCCTGAGGTCCGTAATCTAAATCTTACATTAAATGCAAGCATTTACGCTAATTAGGTAATTACGCCAACTAGGGCTGGGCGGTATGACCAAAAATGCATATCACGGTATTTTGTAAGATTCTGTCGGTTTCACGGTATATCACGGGATTTTTTTTCCTTCGCGTTAAAGCATTAATTAATTAACACCGAAAAGAACCTGCCAGTCAACCGGCCAGCGAGCGGTGAACAGCTGTTTGTGTGGCGTGTCTTCCGTTCCGTCACTTCCTGTTTCCTTCACCTACATTCCCCTGGGTCCTAAGTCCCTCCATGTACAGCTTCTTATCACCCTCTATGTACCAACGTAACATTACATTTATAACAAATACCACACATATTACACGGTAATCAGCGTTGCATATGTCTAACCAAAATACCTTTTGTTGTTCGATCTTTGTTCATCCTGCATCGCTCTTTTCTGTTCTTTAATGTAACGTTACTGGAGAGACAGAGCCTCTCCCAGCTGTTAGCAGACTGTTAGCGAGCTTTACCCAGCATGCAGTTTGGCAGGGAAATTTTATAAATGTACAATTATTAGTGTTACAAATTGTTTGTGTCACAAACTGTTGTGTCGTGGTGTTTTGCCCTGTTAAAGAGCATTAGTTGTGGGTTGTTAATTGTTATTATAAAGTTATGACCATGACTAGGGTTCCCTCTCAATACAGTTAAGACAACTAGCTCTGACCGCAGCGCTCTCAGCGGCGAACAATATATTTTACTGCCTGTTGAAGAGCGACAGAAGTTGCCTCGGCTGTGCACCGGTATGACGGTATATGAAAAATTCATATCGTACGGGAAATTAAAACCAGTATACCGCCCAGCCCTAAAACCAACGAATGCATTAATTAGCAGGTGAGTCAAGAATACTCATCTTCCCATAAGCCATGGACGCCATTAACATGAACTCTGTGCCCTCGAAGCACTGAAGGACGAGGCCAGTGTTTTTATGTGTTTTAGCTCATTTACTACAAATCACAACATTACATTGCTGCCGACTACAGCAACAGAGTTGTTCAGACTTCTGAATGTGTGACATTTCGGGCGTTGATTTGTTTCCATTCAGTTTGGATTGGTATGAAAATCATTTCCCATCAACAGTGTGAACATCTGTTTTAAAAAAGGAAATCTAAATCTAAATGATCACAGTGTGGAAATGTAGTTCAAGCACAGATTATAGTGCTCCTTAAAAGCAAACAAACAAGAGGTTGTGATAACAATACTGCTCAGCTGACAGCTCTCAGGACTCTAGTTTCCCACAAGGAAGTGCAGACTGTTCAAAATAATTCACACTTCCAAGCAAATGTGTTTAAAATACGGTTTATGATAAATGGGCGTAACATTTAAAACACTGATATGGTTGCTCAACAAACTGCAGTATTTTCAGGGAAACATGTTTTTATTTCTCTCTAATTTACTCCAAAATTCAAACATGTACTGTATGAGGAGGACCTCTGGTGTAATTTTAAAGATTTTATCATTAACTGGCGGACTGATACCTCAATGACAACATAACGGACATATGCCGAGTAACGTGGTGGCAAGATGTTAAAAGGAAATTAATTCCCATTGCTAAAAATTGAAACTACATCTTCTATTCATACATGACTTAGGGAACGGAAAAGTGAATTCGGCCCCGCAGGTGTGGATAAACAGTGAGACTCAGACTTCCAGGTTTAGTCTCTTGGCTCAGACAATTAGTAATGTCCCCCTGAGAAAACTAAACTCACAAAGACTTTAACCACCATGTCATTAGTAAACCTCAGTGTTTGCTACCTGCGTCGAGGGATTATCACCTGGGATTTTGGGACTATTACTACCTACCATCAGACACTGAAACACACAGCTGAGGATACCTGCACCTGTTGATAATGGATTATATCGGCCACAATGTCACTGTAACTACTAGCGGGTGCACCTGAAATGTTCAATCTTTGAATTTTGCATCAAAAAAACTACACGCTTAAACAACTACTGCAAGTGCAGTATATAAAACTTTAACTACGTGGTAGTTCTAATTGAAGTTTAAACTGTAGGCCACACGGTAAAAGGGCAAAAATAAGAATACGGTGTTGTGTTCTTTGTGCTGTTTGATATGCCTGTGTGTGTGTGTGTGTGTGTGTGTGTGTGTGTGTGTGTGTGTGTGTGTGTGTGTTCTGATATTGTACTACTCACAGAGGGAAACTCAAAGTCCTTCTGGTTGACGAGGTTGAGCACGTATTCGATCCGGTACTGGCTCTGTGGGCATGCCAACTGTACCGGTGGTGCCAGGGTGCTCATCGCGGTTACTATGGTCTATCACAAACACACAAAATACATTTAAGTGAGGATGACAGAGAGACTGAAGAGGGACAGGATTTATGAACTAAGTATTTGGTGCTGCTTTGGTGTTTTTTGCCACTTACCTCAATAGCCTCTTTAATGTTATTCTTGATGTCGTGAATTTTCTGCTTCTTCTCTCTGAAACAGACACACAGATTCAGTGATGATCATGTGAGGGATTATTGACGTACAGCAGTAACACACAGACTTGGGAGTGTCCTCACAAAGAAGGAATATGAGGAAAGAAAGAGGTACTCTGTGGATCCTGATGCAGGTTTTTAGTCATACATATATACACACATATACATATATATACACACACACACACACACACTCACACACACACACATATCAGTCGAATGAAGGGATCCTTCAAACTGTCAGCGCTGTTTATAACCAGCCATCATAGATGGCGTGCTCTTGTTTTGGTCACAAAAGAGGGTTTAATTAGAAAGTATTGTTTTAGTGCAGGCAAAAAAAAAAAAAATTTAAAAAAAAAAAAAAAAAAAAAAAAAAAAGGAAAGGAGTTCCATGTTACAGTGACATGGTGCACTTCAGTGAGCTGCAGGGAGACTGTTTTTGATCTGGGACGGGTAAACAGACCTTCATTGGCATGCGTGCTGGAGAAATTATGTCTGTCTGCTGTGAAGGATAGCTGTTTGTACAAGACATTTGAACTCTCTGTGACAGAAATGTTTGTATTAAAAGGCAACCAGAGAGCAAGTGAGTCTATCTTTCACCTTGAGCCTGCCAGGACAACAGCGCATTGTGTTTACAATAGTTCTGTGTCAGTGACAAAGGGCAAGATGGGCCTCTTTGGTCTGTGCCAGTTTTTAAACATTTTCCACAAGGAACTCTGCTGCACTCAACCAAACTGATGCAATGTTTAACAATGTCTTTACACCAGTGCAATTTGCATTCATTAGTTTGACTCATCCATTTGGTTACCAAAAACTGAGGCTGCACAATTCCTTCACAATGCCACCTAACCGGTCAACTCTATGAGAGAGTCACTGCTCACAGTCCAGGTTGGAGCTGCGTGTTTGCATCCGATTGGAAGTGGTTTCTTACTCGCTCACAAATGCTTCCACTTATATGTAGCAGGCTGCAGATTGTCCACAGAGAGAACTACAGAAGGAAAGCAATTGTAATAGCAGTTTAGACATGCAGCTGCAGTCATGTCAATATCGCCACCCACAGTCAAAGAAGCTCAAGTAGCGCAGGCTCTTCGTAAAGCTAATTGCTAACACGTGGGCTAAAGGCGAGATCATGTTCAATACGGGTGAAGATCAGGGAAGAGCACAGATGATCTGAAATTTACATCTGGAAGAACATGAACAGGTCAATAAGGACAACGTATTCTGTCACACTAACTCAAAATACACAAAACCTCTTATAAAATGCAAACGCATAAACACACACACTATAGTGAGTGGTTGCATTCCCACTAAAACCATTTTACTTTATGTATTAGACTGAAAAGGCCTGCAGACTTACAATACAACTACTACTTTTTATTAAAGTTGTGTAATGCTCATTGATTAATGTTGACAGACAGAGAGAGAAAAGAGTTTATTGGGTTCGGAGGGGAATTGAGAAGGCCTTGTTTACTTTTTCAACCTGATAGTCATTAAAAATCACATGGTCGTGTGTGTGTGCGTGTGTGTACTCTCCAATCATGAGAGTACGACTGCATGCCTGTGTGTGGTTGGAGAGACATGACAGGACATGCTTCATTGATGGCGTCTGGTGAGAGTAAGTTAAGGTGAAGAAATGCAGATGAAAGGGATTGAATTCAATATCACAGTAATTACAATTTTGTTATAATTCAGTACGTCACTAAATAAATTTGTCTGCAAAATCTTATGATATATAATTAAATTAATGTTCCTTGTATTGAAGTAGACGGTATAAGTGAGGCAGCTGAAAGCACATGCATAGCTGGAACTAACGTTTAGTGTCTTTCAGCTGATTGTTTTGGTTTTACGGGCTGTAAAAATTGAACTATTTTTGGGTTTATGAGAGCTTCTTCAGCCATAAAACAAATGGCCCATGCATACACACTTCCCAGCTCCTAGTTTTGACCACTTAACAGCTCCAGTGATGAGGTTGGCAGTTATATGCCTTGTCTAAAGGCAGCTCAGTCATAGTTGAGAAGAATAGCGAGAGCTGAGTCAGTCATTCCGGTCATTCTTTAAATCGGGCCAGCACTTGGAACCAGCAGCCTTCCGGTCACAAGCCAATTACTCTGACCTTTAGGTTACCACAACACTCAATCCATTCACCCAAAATCTTTTATGGCAGCCATTATTGAACTTGTTCAGTCCAACAGCAGTAAATGTATGTCCTGCCTCAGGATCCAGGTTTAATAGAACAGGTTTCTGTTTGTCATGTGGAGACCCACAAGCTGCTGGCCTGCATCTTGGGTTTGTTGCACAGATGTTTCTGAAAACTACAGCCATGATATTCTGTTCTATTTTAAGCTTAATGGGCATCTACTCCTATACTTATCAATACCTTATTTTAACTAAGATACAACAATCATCAGCGTTTACCAACTACAGTTCCCAGAAGGCTTTGCATGTCTCCAACAAAGTTTATTGGAAGATATAGTTGCCGACACCATGGAGATCAGCGTTTGGAAACTAAACAAATGTTAACCCAATTCATTCAGCATTACATGTTCTCCTTACGGAGATACAGTCTTAAGTAAACCTTAAGACTGCATTTAAAATTCCTGTGAAGTCCACACTTCACACAACAAGCACATCATGAGGATTGGTTTACGGAACCGTCTCATTTTAAAGGCTCCTCCAAAAGTGGCCATCAGCATATTGCAATCCATTGCATGCTGGCCAATTGATTAATATTGCAACCGACTTTGGATGCGTCCTCGTGTTGGGCTACTTTAGAAGTAAGACTTCACTCATATCGTACTCACTCTGCATTGAAGCCGTTGACATGAAGGATCCTCATCTGTTTCACTATGGTGCTCTTTCCTGACTCTCCAGCTCCTGGGAGACAGAGATGAAAGAAGAAATATTAGGAATCTGTTGACATGTGAAACAAGACCCCACCCCCCCACACACACACGAGATATTGACCATACACATTTGTCTGAAATGTCACTCTACAGTATGTTTACAGTAGTCCCATTTTCTGTACCTCACTAAAAGGTATTTTCATAAGCTGCATCGGCTGTAAATCACTCTGCCCAACAGGACATTTTCAATGAACAAACAGCCGATTCCACACACGACTGTGACATTATTTGGCAAAACCGGGAGCAGAGGCAAGGACAGTGCTGCATGGTCATGGCTGAAATAATAGCCACTTGATACTGTGATCAGAATCACGAGATTGAGACATGATGATGACTGCCTTTAGACTTTTCCCTGAAAAGTGGGGTTAAATATTTCCCCGTCAAAAAGCAGGTGTAGAATAAAAAAAAAAAAAAAAAAAAAAAGAGTTCTTCATGTCTTTATGTCCCGTGAGGAAAATGTGATCACCGTTATTGTCTGTGTGGCATTTGCAGTCAACGAACAGTAAACTGCAAACATTCTGAATGTTGCTAAAAGGCATTATGAGAGACGAGCTGGTTCAGCATTGCTAGCAGGTTAGCTGTATGCTGCAGGTCTGTGGATGGCCTGCGCTGCTGTGAGAACGAAACTCACATCTCTGGCTCTGTAACGCAACGCCTGCAGTATGTTCAACTGCTGAGCGGGAGCCGCTTAAAGCTCAACAAGTTCAGTTCTCACACGGCCCAATGCCTTTCCTGTCTCAGACCTTAAACCTGTTTTTGTTCCTTTCATTCAGCGGTCGCCTCTTATTTTTATCTTCATCTGATCTTTAGAAGGTTAGATTAACAATGACTCAAACTTTTAATTATTTGAGCAAGGGATCCAAATAAGTTGTACAGTTTATGTAGAATCCAAAATAAAGTTGTATGTGAAGTTAAATAATGCACCTATCTGCCATAATATTAATCCCAAGAAGCTATTCAAGCTAATAGTCTTTTTCTTAAAAGTGAAGACAGTGAGGTTCATGATTTACATTACTAACATTAACATTGTTCTTTTTGCTTATAGACCATTTCAATAACTGTCTTAATTTAAATCTCTCATAGGTAGTGTGTAACATCAGTACAGGGACTACAGATGGAAAATAGCCACTTCTCTCTGATGCATTTACAGCAGTGTATCTGTTAAATAAACTAATAAATGATCATTTTCAATCCAGTACGTCTAAATTATTACAGCTAGCTGTATCGCCACATGTCTCACTTTCTGACAATGTTGGTCATGTTTAGCCAAATCTATAAAAACAGCTTAACGTGCGACTAAGGGACATGTTTGGATGGACATGCTGCTATGTATGTTCCACGCAGACGCGCTGGAGATTTTGGTGACTTTTGGAGTTCTGATAAATGCATGTACCGACACCTTTTTCCAACAACCCTGTGAAAACTGGATTATAGCTGAGAATAGTCTCCCAATATTAAGATTTGATATGAAGACGTAGGTGTGAGATTTCAGAAAGGAGAGAGATTTCAGAAAGGAGACATAAATGTTGGTCAAGTTGGATTTCTCGAGTATATCTATGATGTTTGGTAAAGGCAAAAACCATTTCCAAATAACAGCCATCTAATGACAATCCTATTGTTGGCGGTTTGCAACGGTTGTTTAATAGCCAACGTTCCCCACCCACGAGACGCATTTGTGGTAGTCGGGCACATTATCAGACAAGTCACAGAAGAGTCTGGGATTTGGGCATTTTGGTGGCTCAGCAAGTTACAGCACATACCATGAACTCAAAACATCATTCTCTCAAATCTAACAGATGACCTCATGTCATAATGTCAGCTCTCCTCTCTCTCTCTCACTACAAGATGAAGCAGAAATGCCACAGCATCTTGCGAAATACCAACACGATAGAGTAAAGAACAATAGCATAGCGTGTCCCTCTTGTGTGCGATGGGTTGCATGTTTGATGCGTGAACCTTAATCTTTTTGAGTATCAGAAGTGTGTCCATAGCACAAAGCATTAAAAACAGATAAGCACACAAAAACTGGCCCGCAATGCTTGGTCAGAGTCTTTGTCTCTACATTGATTATATTAAAAGATACTTCCAGATCATACATTTAGAATTTCAAATTTTTAAAAAAAATCAGTGCAAAGTTGTTGTACAGCTGTTTGTTGAGACAGCATTACACATTGATGCATTTGAGAAGTTAAGCTGGATTACAAAGCAAACCATCGGCAAAAGTAAAACTTTCCAATGCTATAAGAGGATTCTGGCCATCAGTGATGCATCAAACAGGCTGCTGAAAGTTGCTTATATGACTCCGAAATAACCTCAATTTAAAAAAGTCCCAAACTGTGTGTATTTCTCTTCCGACATGAAACAGACCAGGTACAGAGGTCAGGGATGATACTATTGTATTCTCAATATAGTTGTTTATTTCACGAGAGAATTTATGAAACAAATCAGAAAACTCATCATCACGTTATGTTGAAAGCTAGCATGGCTGCTAGTGGATGTTGTCCCCTCTGAAGGATCGATAACCTTAATGACAACTTCGCTGAACGTGTCCTTGATGAATGTCTCTTCTGAACCCGGAGACATGGAAATACACGGCATATCAAGTTACCACCGTAAAGCAGACACAGATGTAAACAGTGCAACACGTCAGATAAAAGTCATGAACTCTGATCAACTCAAATGTACGAGATCTCTGGGGAAGGATGCAACACTGTTAGTCAATTTAACATTTACAGCAAATAAAATTCCAGTCGCAGAGCTTTGTGCAGACAGGATTGCCCCTTTGCTTTGCAAATATTGGGGCGATAAAGCGTTAGAATCGTGCCGTCAATTAAAATACCTGCAATAATATTACTTGAAGGTCATCACATCTTCAGTATAGAGACTCTAGTATGTAAACATGTTATTTTAAGTCCTATCTTGACAAAGTAGCTGCTAGCTCTCAATACACCACATACTTTGTGAACACCACTCCTTTTGTAGGCGTCACTCTTTAAAGTGAAGCAAACTTTACTAACATGAGCCACAAACCCATTAACACGTTAATTGGGTGATCTGTTTAATCCAATAACCAGTGTAGTTGTAGTTGCATGTTACAATTTTGCTGAGCAACATAATCCAATGATCAACAAGTTCATCGTGGTGGACAGACACACACTGCAAATAGATGGCCACAATGTGTGTGTGTGTGTGTGTGTGTGCCAACTACAATGAGCGTACAGATCGACGCAGCAACTGACCATGTTTTGCTTCGAGACACTTTCGATGCTACATTCTTAATGGCATTGGTTAGAATGTAGATTGTACTACATTTCTTCCCCCCCCCCCCAACATGGATACAAACAAAGCATTCAGGTTTTCAGCTGCACCAGGTTTGAGTTGAGCGACTCTTTTGTGCTTCATTTGCCATTTAAACAGATCATCCAAAACATGCAGAATCACAAACACCAGCCTGCAGGTCTGTGATGAACTCAAACTGGTAGATGACATAAAAGAAAGACGACAGCAGACATCTTTGTTTTGGTTTCCATGTGGGTCCCCGTCCTTCTGCTTTCCTTAAGTCACCACAACTTCCTCCCCAACATAAATACAGGCGTGTCGTACAATACGCACCCTCGCTGGCATCTCGGCAATCAAATATTATGATTTTGACAAAGAACACCACGGCTTCTTAGAAGTGGTGAGCCTGCTGCGAAAGGACATATGAGGAGGGTACAGAAGGGAGCACGGCAGGGAAAGTTAAGACACTCTTATTTGTCTCTTATGTAATGTAGAGACCCAGCCCACCTCCAGTTCACTCTCTGACACACACAACCACATGTTGAGTCTTATACATGTTCACGTCTACATTAGGTAGGTCTCTGGGATTTCTCTTACAGTCACTACTCTCTTAAGACACTGTATGGGGGCTACACTCCCACAAACTGGCAGGTAATGGTAACCTAGTGTTAAATTTTCAGGCCTACATGCAAAACTAATAATGCACTGCACAGCATGTTATGTGGTCCAGCTGATGATATATGTTCTGTTTAAATACATGCATAAATGACAATAAATTCAGTTATTATTGATGCAAGTGGTTGTTTCTCCTATGATGATCACTGACAGCAGTTCACGCTACTTATATATTTACCTCGACATCACTATATACGCTCCCAAACCAACCTATTGACTCTGCCTCAGTATGTTTTGTTGTTGCCAATGGTAGACTGCTAATTTGACAGTAACATGCTGAAAACCCGGCACAGAGCTGCATTTTTAGCCTTATGCAATGGCAAAGTCACACTGTTGACAATGTTTCCCAAAACAACATCCCAGAAGGTTATGCAGGGAGGCGGGAGGCCTCAACTGTGCAGACAGAGAACCTGCCTGTAAAGCAGCAAGCATAGAGAACAAAATCACAAATCAAACTCACCTAAAAGTAGTAGTCTGTGTGTTGCTCTGTATATCTGTTTGTCTTTCTGGAGCTGCTTGTCTATCTTTTTGTTTGCTTCTCTTTGTGCCTTCTCCTCATTTCTCTGGTCTTCAGTCTTACTGTTGCCCAAACAACCCATCTTCCCGCAAGAAAAAGAAAAAAAGGGGGTCCAGGGGAGGAGGTGGAAGAAGAAGTGGAGGTGGTTATGTTGAAAGAAAAATAAATAAATAAACTAAACTAGTCTAGTTCCCTCGTTTGACATGCGGATTCGGTAGCAATGCCACCCACATGTACGCCGTGTAACGTCCCTGGCCTGCTCCAAAAACTGTCCGTGGTGCAGCACTGTAGGAATTATGTGTCCATAACGCGTATTCTGCTGTCAGAGAAAGGGCAGGATACTGTGGCTGACGACACCGAGGCCGCCTTCTCAGTTAGCTTGAATCCTGCTCGAGCTTTTTCCTCCTTCACATGCAGTGTAGTTTTTTTTTGTGTTTGTTTTTGCTTTCCCACTCTCTGCCCCCCGTCAACCGTGTCACGTTAACACTTGTAATCCACAACGTTTGTTAAGACGCCAAAAAAATCGGTGTGTTTCACCTCGAACGGAGGCAGAACAAACAGCCTAATTTGCATCTCCAAAAGCCCGGGTCTTGCGTCTCACTGCTGCCCGTGACAAGGAGCCGAACTCGGCGTGTCCGAAAACCTCGCCCGTGCTGTGGCGCGGCTCGTTTCCGCGTCTTCTTTCATGATAAACATTTCCAAAGGCGTGCACTTATTCTCTCTATCTATGTCTCCGTCTCCCCGACGGCTGTCTTGGTCGGAGGGTGGGTGGGTGGGTGGGGGAGGCAGCAAGACAGGGGGAAGGAAAATAATATTAACACCCCAACGAGCTACATGTGTGATATTCTCATTGCTTCCGTCGTCATCCTCCGGCTCCTTTGCATTCGTTGCATCAAATCAACCCCCAAACAGCTCCAAACTCACTGCGGTTGTCTTTTCGGCTGGATGCCCCACCACCTCCAACTCCGAAACGATCCAATACCCCCCGATTTGTCCTCATTTGCGATGGCTGTCCCTCGCTGTGTTTCTCCTCCAAAGGGCCTTCTCTCTCTCTCTCTCTCTCTCGCTCTCTCTCTCTCTCTCTCTCTCTCTGCCCCTCGCTTTTGTTGCTGAAATGTGTTATCAGCCCCTCACATCACCACTGAGCCTCCAAAACTGCGCACCGATACTTTTTTTTTTTTTTTAATTCCCGGCTCGGCTCTGATGAATCTCTTCAAGGAAAAAAATAATAATTTAAAAAAAGGGAAAGAAAACGGAAACGTGACCAAGATGCTAAAATCCCTCAAAATGTATCCACGTTTCTTGCAGGTGAAAAGGCAACCCCTGCTGTCAGGCTCAGTTTATGTAGCCTGTATATGTGTACACACATAGGCTACACGCTCTCATACAAACAGATATATATCAATATTCCTCTTGAATCCGAGGTGGGTAAACAGGCTACAGGCTTGAGACTGCATGTGCATTTACATTTACAAAAAAATAGGACGCGGGGTTGTTGTAGCAGCACATTCCCACCGCGAAGGCCGCTCCCCTCCTGGCCGCTGGTCGTGGAAGGTGAAAGACAGGAATAACCAATTCTTGGAGGTTATTATTTTCTCGCTTTCTCTCTCCCTCTCTCCAAAAATAGTAGCCCACTACATTGAGGAGATAGACAGCGCTGAAGAGAGACGGGGTGGGGCCACACGGCGCTCATTGAACCCTGGGAAGGAAGGACCGAGGAGAGGAGAGGAGAGGCCGCTTCGCCTCGTCACGTGGCCCGGGCGCGGAGCAGCGTCACCGGCGCGGCTCTGCGGAGAAAACGGCGCCCTCTTCAAAGAAAACGACCGCACACGGGTTGAAGGGTGGGCGTCACGTACAGCAGCCCGGCCGGGGGCTCCCAGAGCTACTGTTACACGGGCTGTCACCGAGGACACCTCCAACCCTAACACAAACACAAATAAACACACAAATTTACTACATACAATGAAACACAAGTCAACACAGATGTATGTTTGCTGTGTTTAGCCATAGCCTATACAAATTAACCTTTAATCTGAAAGTGTAGAAATAGTGTTATTTGTTTGGTTGAAGCATATTTTATACACCATCTGATAATAACAGCAACAATACTACTATTAGTAATAATAATAACAACAATAATAGTTTAAAAAACAAACATTTAGACATACATTTGTATCTTTTATATCTAAATTGCTCACAGGATGCGTGCGTAAATATCATAGGACCTCATTTATCCATCCATCTTTCCTTCAATCCACCCAGCATGTTCTGGGTGAGAGCCTTGAACCGTCCATCGCAGGGTGACACAATCAGACGTTTCCACCTAGGTGTGTGCTCGGGACGATTACAATTCATCTTAACTGCAGCAACTGGAGGAACCTCTTTGATAGAGGACATGCAAACGGCACACAGTAAGTACTGGAGCCCAGGACCTTCATACTGAAGGTCACCTGAAGGCATCCTTGCACATGCAAGATGTCCAGAGTCATTAGGTGCAACGTAGTCAGACTGTGGTCAAAACAACCAGTTTATTAGGTAAACAGGTACATCTACTGCATACTAATACAATAGCCCTGCAACAAATCCTTTCGCTCTAAAACTTATATTAGAACACAAGACTAAAGTGAGTAGACTATGAAAGTGGTGAAAAGTGTGAATTATTACGCCTTGTTTCATGTCTTTAAACTTTAATCCTAAATTACTGTTACTGCACAGTCAACATCTTTACCAGACTAATAATATTTATAGCATCATTAATGTTAAAACAAACTTATTATAAACAATGTTCATACACAGGTCCTATGAGAGGTTTTATAATTAGAATATATGTCAACAAAAAAATACCAACAATTATTTCTGTCCTATTTTCTAGGCTTATTGTGGGAATTCTGTACATTTGAGATGAAATCATAGTTCTTCAAACTAATTATCCTTTCATATATAGTCACAGGGGCAGACCACCAGCTATATTGCTGTTAGGTCTGTTGAACACTAGGTGGCAGCAGTCTTCCAATGCTGAGCAGCAGGTTTGGGGATTATTTCTGTCAACTCTATCCTAACAGTGGCATAATTGTCATACATTTGTATGTAAACAGGTAAAAAGAAACAACAACGTTGATTTAAAAGTATTTTCTGAAGTTACTTTGCAAAGTTACATTGACTGCCGCCTAAAGTTTTTCTCTAAATAGTCTTAAATGTTCTGGGTATAGTTTTGGAGATGAAATCTGAACACAAATAAAACTATTTAAAATTGATTTGATTTGTTGAGGCATTTTCTTTAAAACACACACTTCCTGATGATGATCTTTTTCCTTCTCTCTATGTGACTTATGAAAACACCCTGTATCCTGAGCCCAAACCTTCAAACTCCACCCAGATCCACAAGAAGGGCAAAATGCAAAAGATGATTGGTCCCAGAAACAGTGAAATAGATCAGAGGACTAAAAGCTGTGGCTCTGTATGTTAATCCCCCCGGCCGTCCTCTGGGCTTTGCGGTGGGCTTTGAGTGTTGTGCTGACCTGCTTCCCTCTGGAGCTTGAGGCCAAATCAGTCAAAATCTCAGAGGACCCATCCTCCATCTGTTTGGCTCACATGAAAAAATGATTGCCATGTCTCCTTTCCTTCATTTGGTTTTCACAGTATGTCATCTCTAAATGTCTCCGTACATCAACTTGATGAAGTAATTATTAACAGGTTGAGAGACCAGACGCACAGATAGAAAAGTTTACCTTCCTTTGCTTATGCAAAACACAGAAAAAACCCTAGCTAACATTAAAACTGGAGCCAAGTCATAACGTCAAGCATTAAATCACAAGCTTGTTTTGTAAACATTAGTTGTGTCAGTGTGTTTACATACACAGTCTACCATGTGAAGGGCCCCCTTGTAGAACGTTGGTGCTTCCCATTTAGCTCTTAGTTGTGCTAAACGCTCCCTTTATCGTGAACGTGTTGGGACAAAACATGCATTGAAATAAAAAATTGCAAATCCCGGCTCCTTTTCACACATTACATGTGCACACTAATAGTGCACATTCCTCAGATTGCATACCGTGAGAGTGTAGTATCAACAGCTTGGACAGCAGCGGTGGAGGTCGGACAATATGTTAAATGTCAGAGGAACTGATGTGAGACCTTTCCCGGCAACCGATCAATATTGGCTCAGCACTCAATCAAAACCCGGGCATTAAAAATTTGCAAGGATTTCCCAATCATGCATCGACACGATGGCAGTTAGCTCACAAGCTGAGCATAAATGATCAATCAATCCTTGACTCACTCTGAACTACACCTAATTCTGATCTTAAAACTAAAACTTTGACTATAATAATAACTTCCCAAACACTTTTCCTCATCTTCCTATTCCTGTGTCTCATAAGTAGTTACACACGCACACACGCACGCACACACACACTTTCTCTGCCTACAACCCCACCCAAGACCCTTTCTCAGCACGTCACTCACAGCTCTTTTTAACTGCACTGTCATGAACTTTTAGCGACCTACTCAGCACTCGTTCTCATCCTAATCAATTTAGATCTACTGCTGCGGAGTAATTGAGTGTGTGTTATCTCCTTTCATTGAGTCCGAGGGTTTATCTGTCCACAGAGGAGCCTCGTCGGTGATAATCTACAGACAAACGCACACAATGAAGTTATTAGCTTGGTTTGGGCTTAGTTAACAAGGTTAGGATCTCCTGGATCGCTTGTGGTGTTAAAATAAATGGAGATGAATAAATGAGATGTGATGGTATTCTGAGCATTTTGTAAAACTGAGGAGAAGAAAATAACTGAAGCTCCTCTTATCTTATTATTTTTTTGCAGCGTAAACCCAGAATGTCTTCTTTTCAACACCACTTTGTTCACAAAATAGTTTGTCATTAAATACAGCAGTCGCACAAACTAACAATTACTTTCCTGATTGATGAATCGTTTAGTGGATAAAATGTCAGAAAATAGTGATAAACGCCCAATACCATTTCATAGAACCTGATGTACTTTGATCCGCCTTCGATTTGCTCTCGTGGGAAAAGCAGCACATCCTCATAAATACCAAGCTGGAACTTTGGCAGTTTGCTTGACAAATGACTTGAACGATTAATTGATTCACAAAATAATTGTGACTATTAATTAAGCTTTAGTCTAACATGCTATTTCTGCATAGAAGCATTGCTGTACTTTATGTAGTGACCTTGTTCTGTATATATGAAAACCCACAACTCAGCTGATTACACCCTCAACACGTAACTGACGTGTCTCAATGAGTGTGAATTCAAACTTAAGTGAGCATACAAATAAGATTAATCTTTATGTTTCCTAAAACCCAACTTTACAAAGTGCTTTACAGCAGGATGGGATGCGATGCACATGAGAAACTGAATCCATAAGCAGGAGACATGGAGATTTCATGGCACTACTGACACGAGACACAATTTTGTTTAAACATTTTGAGCTATTTTTGGTATTTTAAGCAGCAAGTCTTTGCTTGTTCTGTTCCACACTGACCCTGTACTGATGTGCTTCACATTAAGAAATGAACAGGATACACTACACAGAATAATCAACAGAAATTTGACAGCATCCAGTGCATAAAATACCTGCTTGAACTGGTGATCCATTAAGTTAACAGGCTCTTTAAATGTCTGTCACTGGTAATAAAACCGCAAGTTACTCATTTTCCAGACTCACCCTGTTAACACTTGTGCAGACTTAGTCCCAGCTGCTATTTCAGCAGGTTTGTCTTGTTAGTCTATGCTGTGTAGAAACAAAAAGTCATATCAGATCTTCCTTGGAGGATGGTGCAATGTTTTCTCTTCTATTTTGGAGCAAAGTTAATGTTTTTGCTTGTCTCAGTCCTCGCATTGATCATTCCTCTGTAGTCACACCAGCTCTTAATGGCCTCACAACCATGAATATTAGATACACTTCCCTTCACCCAACGGCGCAAATATGATGAGCTAGCCTGACGCGGCTGTACAGAAACAAAACACAGTGCTGTATGAGTATCGAGCTGGATTACAGAAATAAAGAAATCAGACATTCAACACAATGCGTGAATGAACGCAAAGACACCTGCACGCACGAGCTGTAACAACCTTTAAGCACAATCCCGATCAAAGCCGTCATAATATTGTGTGCCTGGTTTTATGTATCAGTGAAAGCATGTTTTGCAGCGATGTAGTGATAGCGGATATTCTCCTGAGTGAGATTAGCCTCAATGTGAGGACAGTAACAGAGATGCTGGGTCACAACCCATTATGTCTGGGAGAGAGACAGACAGAGAGAGAAAGAGGAGGAGAGAGAGAGAGAGGAGGGAGGGAAAGGAGGGTGTGACAGAGACACAAGCAAAGATCATTTTCACCCAATTTTAAATCTAGATTCTCTGCTCTCTCTCTCTCTCACAGCTGCCTGTCACTGGACTGACAGCATCTCCGTCCTGTTATAGTTTGAGTGTTTTGGACTCAAATTATATTTTCTGTATTTTTCACTGCCGCTTTTCAGGATGCTTTGACTGAGGCTTCATAGATGTTCTTCTGAGAAATGTGTGAGCTGGTTGGAGTTCTCCCCCCCCCCCCCCCCCCACATTGCTCAGACATTTGCGTATTTGTGCAGACATCTAGAGGGAGATAGTACCTAACGGAGCAGTGTGGCGGTCTCTGACACAAAGACGGAGACATGGCAGGGGACCTCGTGGTCGGGATGCTCTATAACTTATTACTACCACTGCTCCTGCTGACTGGTGAGTCTATGTCTGTTTAAGCCTTTTATTCATATGCATTTATGCTGATAGAAATTACATTTCTGGTGGGTCCTCTCTCTTCAGTTAGAAAGTAAAGGTTTAAATATACAAACGGAATTTCAGCAGTAGTTTCAAGTCAGAGTAAGAGGTATCTTTAGGTGTCTCGTGGAGATGCTGATAAAATCCTACCAAATCAAATAATCTTGAATTATTTTCCCTAGTGGTTTCTGTGTGGTATCAGCATTAGATTAATTCTAATATATTGGTTATATTTCCTCCCTTTAGTGAAAACAAGTTTCACTGAAGGTGGCGTATTGATGAGTTTTGAGTTTTTGTAGTAAAGCTAGTACATGTGGGCTTACAGCTGAATAGTACTGAGGACAATGCTGATTCAAATTCAGGATCCAACGTGGCTTTCTATGAGGTTCATACATATCTTGTGATATATGAGTGGAGTCTCGAGCGTTGCGATCGAGACGGCGTCTTGCAAGAAGCAGCGTGTGTTTAGTTCAGGTCTGAGATCGACCACGCTCACTACAAAAGATATACCCGAGCAATATGTTTGTATCTAATGGGATTTAAAAATATTGAAGTGTGCTGTGTAACTTTGACTGTTGTCTTAGATAATATGTGGGGTCTTACGTACCCATGTGCTGCAAAGTTGACGCTTGACCTCATAAAAGGTGATGATAATTTGAAATTTTGTAAGGTGTTAAAAGATATTAGTTTATATTTGCCGATGGGCAAAATGTTTCCAGACCGTCAGACAAGTTATATGTTGCTTTCCCTTCCTCTCCTTTCCTTAAAAGAAATAGTTTTGTTGTTGTGTTAAACTAGAATGTGATAGAGTGTGGAAAAAAGCATACTTTTTCCAGCTAATAAAGGTAAATTTGCACCTACACGTCTTTTGCGTGTCAGTTTCTTTGCTTGCTAATGTGACCTGCTTGTTATATTTTTCTGTGGACAAGTGAATGAATTCCGACCATTTCTTTGGAACAGATGAAGTAAACGTGTTCTCTCTCTCTGCACCTCAGCATCTTCGTTCCGCTACAATGGTCTGTCGGTGGTGTATTTCCTGTTTTTGCTCACTTTGCCGCTGATGCCGAACCCCAGCCTGGTCACCATGAAAGGTGAGAGGGGCTCCAGAGACAAATTACATCCAGTTCATGTTTGCTCTGATATAGTTACAAAGTAAAAGTGTCGATGATGAATTGAAATTAACTTACAGTCATTTGTGTTTGCAATTTAAGATGATCACATTAAAATAAGACCATTCCACCATGTTACAAATAATTCTCATTGAAAAAGCAATTTCCTCTGTTGCTACAGGGATAGTTTAGATCATTTGAAATGGGGTTGTGTGAGGTACTTATCCTCAGTCAGTGTATTACTTACAGTAGGTGGCTTTCGGCATTCCCCTAGTTTGGAGAAACAGGCAAGAGTCCGGGCACAGAAGCTGAGCAATGTTCTGCTAAAATGTATTTTATATATTCTATTATAAATATATATTATATAAGTTTACGCTATATTTCGAACATTTGTAACGCTTTACCTGAAGCAGTTTTATCCATCTATGCGCTCTTCAAAGCCACAAGACTCCTTGGACAAAAATTTAACACAAACAACCTAACCAACTGAGGCAGCAACAGACTTTGAACGTAATATCAATTTGGTAATTTAGCTGAACTGTAAACTCTTAAATTATGAGAATAGTCAGTTTGATGAGGAGGAAAAACAAAGAGGGAGAATAACGGACATAACACACGAGAGATTATATCGCGTAAGTGTGTGTGTGTGTGTGCTCGGTATTGATCACTGCCTACTGATCAATTAAAGTATCTGTACTCCTCCGTCAAAGTACTTTGTAAAGGGGATGTGGTTGGAACGGTCAAATCAATTATACATAGCTTGGTAATTACAGTGAGGAATTAAAAGATGTGATGTCAGCACCCTGACAGCATTTTCTTTCTTTCTTTCTTTCTTCCCATCCCTCCATCTAAAAACTGTTTGCCTTTCAGCTTGTCTTTGAAAGCTTCATAGGTCCCCCAGTTATCTTCATCTCCCTAATATGATCTCACTCTCCTTGGGCTAAGTGGTCAAGTGTGTGTACATCCTGTGTGCATTTGTTTCATGAGGTTTTTGTACATCCACCGATACCTGGGAGAGTATGTGTGTGTGTGTGTCTACCTCATTGGGAAGCAGAGAGGTTTAAGTGAAACGAAGCTTTCAGTAAAAATCCTGAACATCAACAGCACATTTGCAGCCTCAGCTAATGTTGAGCCACATCAGCTATTAATGCTTTTGTACCTCCAACATTCTGATTACAAGCCTCAAACTCTCGACTGAGATTATGAACTGATGCATTGCTTTGAAAACAAATTCATGTTAAAGCTACCCATTTCTAGCATTTGATTCTAATTCAATTTAAAGCAGTGAAATATATAATGCACATGACTTTTGTGAATGTTGCCTCACACACTGATTTGTTATTAGTTTGTCTGAATAGGTGCAGTCTATCCAAGAGGAATATTAAACTCTATTTTACCTAATCAGAATTTAGGCTTTAACATTACGGGTGAAACTTCTGGATTGGGTTGCACCAGCTATTCCACGAATAAGTTTGTGTGTAACGTCAAACCATACATAAAAACAAGATTTCTATCCACCTCCTATTAGAAGGCAACAACCTCCATGGCTAGGTGTGATACAACGAGACGTCGGTCACTCAAACAATCATGAACAGAAACGTGCTCTTTTCTACGCCTTAATCACTTCAACTGGAAAACAACTTCAACAAAATAACTACCAAGACAGGAATTACAGGGAGCTAAATTGGCTGTTGAGACGCTAATTTCTTTTGATTTAATCTACTGACTTTCGTCGTGTTGGCATCATGGCTCTAGGTATACAATGTCAGCCTGTCGATAGGTCCGTCCATCCCTTTGACCTGATTGAATGTCCTAAATTACATTTAGATATATTGCCATGTCATTTTGTACATTCATGATTCCCAGAGGATGAAGCCTGCAGACTACGGTGATCCTCAGATTTATCCTCTAGTGACACCAGCAGGTTGAGATTGATTTGCGGACCTGTAGTGATCGACTTTGATTGACTCTTCAAAAGATATGTTTGGCTTCTTTGTGAGAAACTTTAGTTTAGTGAATACTCCTCCTGCAGGACTACAATGCACTTGAATACCCAGACTCACATACCTCACTTTAGCTGGCTTATTGATCTGTAAAAGTGCTCACAAAGAGACAGAACCAGTTCAATTTAAAATACTGCCAACTGTCTGGGAGACAATATTCTACTGAAAAATATCTTGAAGACAAGTACGAGGTCCATCAATTAGGGTGTGTGTGTGTGTGTGTGTCTGTGTGTACCACCATCACTGCTCTCTCCTTGGTTTCATTTCCTTTCAGTCATTTTGGCAGTATAATTATATATATACTATATATATATATATATATAATTATACACAAGTTACAACAACTACCATGCACAACTTTTAGAATGCTTAAAATACTTATTTTTGTTATTCTATCCAACTTGTGAAATCTGAAATTGTGAAACGTTTCATGAGCTGCTCCAATTCAGAGGTAAAACAGAGAGATGAACCTTCAACATTTACAGCTGATTTGACATATATTCACCATTAACCAACTCTAACTTTTGTTTCAACCTGGTTTCTCTCATTCGCTGCTGTGTTCAGGTAAAACAGGTGAGTTCTTGAGGCAGCTCAGCTATACGAGCTTGACCTTCCTGACCCTGCAGTGCTTCATGCAGATCCCCTTCGCCTACATCCCTCCACACGGTAAAAACAAACCCGGCTCAATTCACAGATATCAGGAACTAAGAAAAACAGATTTGCCTCCAGCTTGGTGACCTTATTTTATTGTATTTTTTCTACAGTTAGCGGCCACTGGGAAGATGTCCTCTATCATTTGGGCATTATAAGGTATGGGATCACACTTTTCAGGTCACATATCAATTGTTATGCAGTTTACATTAAAAAACATGACTTCTAACCATTTTAGATTGCTTCCTATCTTTCAGGCAGCCTTCTAGTTGATTTCAGTGCAGTATGAAAATCAACCCAACAAGGCTTTTTGTTTTGTTGTCATATGGTAAAGCTGTACCAATAACGTAAAGCTGACAAATGGAAACTACATGTTTACTATGTCAAAAAAGTCTCAACAATTTGATTCTCGTACCTTTCTGGTATGAATGGAGATCAGTGGAGATCAAACCTATGATGATGCTTGTGTTTCCAGGTTCAGCTCGGTTGACGCTGGGAACGTTGTGCGTCTCCTGGCTCCAGATGTGGGCCTCCTCTTCTCTTCCCTCTTCGTCATGAGGCTGTGCAAAAAACGACTGCGCACCGTGCCCCAAGTCACTCTGCATGAGAACGGAGTACCGCCGTCTGACCCCGAGGTAACACATCTACCGTTATGACTTTATAATGCGTTAACAAAGCATGTTGATATCAGTCTGATTGTTTGATGGGTCTGGCAGGAAGTGGAAACATCTGAAACAGACTCTGAGGGAGGAAGCGAAACGGAGGGCTCGTCCTTTGACAGCTCAGATGAGACCACGGTGCCGGTTCAGTCGGCTCCGCCCCAGTTTGTCCAGAAGCTGATCGTTTTTGCAGCCGGACTGAGGCTGCTGCTGGCAGCAATCATGAACACAGCAGGGAAAGTGGTGGTGACTTTACTGCTGGGGCTGGCAGGTACAATACAGCAGCTGTTGTGTGAGCATGCAGGTGTATTTTAGTTTTAAAATGTTGAAAAGTCTATTTTAGACTTTTTTCTCTCTTGGGTGTGTGTGTGTGTGTGTGTGTGTGTGTGAGCAGGTATCACACTGCCATCCCTCACCTCAGGTGTGTATTTCGGGGTGTTTCTCGGGCTGGTGTGGTGGTGGGTGTTCAGCCGCTCCATCAGCCTGCTGCTCTTCAGCTCCCTGTGCGTGATGATGGCAATCTTCAGTGGAGGACACCTGCTGGCTCTGTACCTCTACCAGCTGCCTCTGTCCCAGCAGCTCGTGCCCCCAGAAGATGTCTACGCAAGGTACAGAAGTCATTAAAATGTAGGATTAGACTGATATACTGGACTGATATGGTGTTTTTTATTGAATATCAGGTTTCATCAATTTTATGTTTGTTTCAGGCTCTTAGTTTTTCTGTGAATAACTGAGGACAAATATTTCAATGCAAGGTGCATCCTCATTAGAATCAGGTCATGGAGTCAATCATTTTAGACTTTGTTCTGGATGTATTCACTGGATGTAATCACTTTGCCTTTTTTATGTTTGCATTTGCGCTATATAGAGTAGCAGGTGGAGATGAGAAAAGGCACATAAATGATTTAGACCTTTGTCTAATGATTTGTTTGAAATTGCCCTTTACACTTTTCCTGGTTGGTTTATCTCTTTTGCACTAAAGTTTGACAATATACAAGCTCACATGTATTCTTATTCCTCTCTCCACTCTTACTCTGTCCCTCACAATCTCTCCATTCATTCTTCCTTTCCGTCTCCATGCTGCACTCCCTCCCCTCTACCTGTCCCAGGTTGTTTGGTATGACAGGAGTGGTCAGAACCAACGGTTCAGACCCGCACGTTCTTGGTCTGCACCCACACGTCAGCTGGCCTGACTTCATCAACCCTTTGGTTCTACTGCTGCTCTACTACACACTAGTGGCTCTGCTGCACAAATGGGCTCACATCACGGAGGTTTGTGAGAGCGTATTAAACGGGAAGCTCTTTTTCTTCCAGAGGGATGGAGGCTAGTTTCCAATATTACTTCTACTGCCAAACTGGAAAGTTGACTAGAATTACTTGCAGTGCTAAACATGCAGGCACATAAACTTCACACCGTATTCAGACTATATTAACTTACGTGACAGGCATTTAATAGCAGTTGTGTTACTCAGGATACTGTTGATGATGAGGAGTGTGACAGTCCAGTGGAAAGTCCAGAGGCTCCTCCAAGCTTCTCCAGGGTCATCTACATCTCAGGAGACAAGCAGGAGGTAACCTGCAAACAATTACATGTTTCTCCTTATTATTATTGTTTGATCACAGGAATACTGTTAATGTATTATGTCAGTTATCAGAACGCTGCTGTTCGGCTCATTGTTAGTTACTCTGGATAATAATATCAGCACATCTGTACAGCCGCATGGTTTTCAAGTTAGCGTTTCAAAATTGGCAGCAATATTTCGTAACACACCTAAGATTCTCTCTATCCTTTTAGCTTTTGAGCAGCACGGATGATGAAACCTATTTGACGGAAGAGGTAAATCATATTATTGATGAATATTGTTTTTGAGAACAAAGTCTAAATTCACAGTATGGTATACTCTCTTTCCTCAGCCAATGGTTTTAATGACTGGGAGTTCCTGGCAAGATGTCGATGACAATGATCTCAGCTCTCTGTTAGAAGGGGCCGGGTATACAAACTGTTACCTTCCACCACAGTATGAAGTCAAACGCTCACCATCACATGGTAATTTTCACACTTATCGTATCTCTAAATACGTGACCTCAGCAACAACTGTTTTCATAAATTTGAATTGACGGACCGTATGTTGGGTTGTCATAAAATCTCAGCGATGCATACATTAGTTTGTTTGGTTTGTTTATTAAATATCTTCATGTCGTGCTTTTTCCCTCCCTTGTGCTAGAAACAGACGGAGGGGGAGAAGTGGGAGAAAACAGTGAGGAGAACCTGAAGACTCTAACAGAGACCTCACCTCCCCCCTCAGGCCCGAGTGGCCTGGTAATCTTTGGACTGCTGGTGCAAAAACACAGCTATGTCAGCGCCCTTATCATCATGATGGTGAACTATACTTACAACAGTTTGAGTTTGTGCGGCAAGTCTTTTAGCAACCCTGACTAGTGCCATCACGGAGGTCGACAGGAGAGAACAAATATCTAAAAAGGATAATTTGTTCTGCTGTATGTGTAGCGTAGGTCTGCTCAGTACTGTAGATAACGTAACATAAGATTAGATCAAAGAAGATAAGGAGGGTTCATATATGTTACAGCAGTGCAAATGACCAGCCAAAGAGCATAATTATAAAATACTATAAACATTTTATTAAAACTCTTAAATTAAATTAAATTATTACAAAAGACCACTGTGGGGAATATTTATTTATACAGTAACTGTATGTAACTATCTTTTTATTATTGATTAATTAGTGAATTGTTTTTATATTCATTGATTCTAGTTTAAGGAAAGGAAAATCCCCAGAGCTAAAGGTGATGTCTTCAAATTACTTCTTTGATCAGACCAACAGTCAAAAACCCATAAGTGAATAAATGCAGAATGATATAATGCTAAAAGAGAAATGCAACATTTTAGGAGCTGGAACCAGAGACTGTTAGGTATTTTTTGTTGATAAATTACATAAAATATCATCATAATAGGTTATGATTAATTTTCTAGCCTTAACTTTTGATTGCGTTGAGGTTAGCTATCTATGCTAACTAGTCTGCAGGCTAATTAAGTAGCTAACGCTTAACACACTATGGTAGCATTAGGAACGTTAGCGAATTGAGTGGATGTAAAACAATGTAATTGTTATTTTTGACAGGTTGTTTGTTAGTTTAGCTCACCAAATATCATTATCGAAACGAATATCCAATACTTTACGTGGAAAACAGCACAGACATTGACATTAACCACAGTCTATGGCATTAAGGCTAGCTAGCATTAGCTTAGTAACATTAGCTTTTAGCATTAACTAAACTCCTTGACAGGAAATTCAAGAATAGTGTAAAAGTTTGACAGGAATAGCTGTTTGGCTGTAACAATGTCACAATGTAAAATATGTATTCATAGGTGTGGAGTATCACCTACAACAGCTGGCTGACTTTTGCCCTGCTGGTGTGGTCCTGTATCATTTGGATGATGCGAGACCGACGCCGCTACGCCATGCTGTCCGCCCCTTTCCTGGCTGTGTACGGCACCGTGCTGCTGGTGCTGGGCTTCCTGAGCGGGCTGCGTCTGAGCCGGGCCGAGCTGTACCCCGGTCTGCCCCCTGCTGTGATCACGGACTTCGACCTGAACAGCTACCACCCTGCGCCCTGTGTGCACCTGGGAGCCAAGGTGAGACGGAGAGGGGGTGAAAAGAAGGCCCTCTGAGACAAATCTGTAATTTGGGGCAATACAAAATAAATTTAATTGAATATGAAAATATGTTTTGTTGACGTTAATTTAAAAAACGTTATGAGGTCAGCTAATAACTTGGCGTAGGAAAAGTGGTGGATTGTAACTAGTACTGGACTACAATTTTGAGGTAGACTACTTGTACTCTACTTTAGTAGAGTTCCATTTTGTGCAACTTTAAACTTCTACTCCACTACATGTTGCCAATCAATAATGTAGTCTACTCCACTAACATTACATTTATTTTACAACATAGGGGTTAAATTAGGCTATTGATGCTTACATAAATGCATTAGCTACTTTAATTCTGTGATACATATATTATCATAAAATGGGCCATTCTGCATATTGAGTACTTTCACTTTTCATACTTCAAGTACGTTTTGATGTTAATATACTGTATACTTTTTACTTTAATGTAGGACTTTTACTTGAGATGGAGTATTCTTACACTGTGGTACTGCTACTTCTACTTAAGTAGAATATCAGAGTATTTCTTGCTAATCCAACTACACTTACAAAGGTTTGATTGTGTAAATGTTAATGTGCCTAAAGAAAGTATTTATCTAGGCCTATCATATTAAATGAGCAATAAAAGTAATACGTTTTACTTATGAATTACTAATTGTTTAACATAGCTGATCTTCATCATCCAGACTGTGTGCGAGTGTTTTGATCAGATTTGAATAACATCTTCCTGGCAACATGAGCACACATTCTAGTTGCTGTCATCAGGTTCAGATTTAGATTTTCATAGTGTTAAATTGAGATTGGTGCATGGAAATACCACTTATGTTGGACCAGTGACAAGAACACAGAGAAAACTGAAAGACTGTTTAAACTATAACAGTGTGTTCATGTGGATCCCATCACTTATTGTAAGAAGCTGATAAGGAAAATGAGTTGTCAGGTTCTTTGGTGCAGATAGGACAGAAAGCTAAACAGAGCTGCCAACTAGACACTTTCAGATCAATCAATTCAGTCAAACAAGATCTTTTCAACTGCACCCACAGATCAGAGTCTGATAATTGTGCATTGACAGGTTATTTTTTGCAACTTTTTTTTATAGCCAAGTTTTTTCCTATCCAGATTGTATTATAGTTGTTACATAAATATGAATTTGAATTAAACAATGTTTACCAAAGCAGATTGTAAAACCGTGTGTGTCTGTGTGTTTTGTGTGCGTGCTGCAGGTCTTCTACAGCTTCAGCTTTTGGTTGATGTTTCGTCAGCAGCTGAAGGAGAGACAGGAGGAGCAGATCTTAAAAGACGAATCTCTAGATGAAGTCAAAGTCCTGCCACGTAATTTATTTTCAAATTTCCTTGACAAAGATTACAGCTACTGTGTTAGAGAATAACATTTTGCTTGGAGTAATCATAATGTAAGACCTGTGTACTCATGAAAAACATCCTGACATGTAGCCAGGCTGTGACCAACTGTTTGATGAACAGTGTCTCTCTTTTCTTTTCTCCTCCTATTCTCCTTCTGTCCATCAATTCTTTCCCGTATCTCCACGCCCTTCTCGTCCTTCTCTTCTTGGTTTCCTCCATATCAGCGGAGGAAAGTCCGCCATCGCCTTTGGCAGCGATGCTGATCTCAGTAGTCAAAGGGACGCTGGTGAAATACTGGATCCTCCTCTGCTGCTCCATGTTCTTTGTGGTCAGCTTCTCTGGAAAGGTATCTATTGACAAACTAAGAATGGGTGAAGTCCCGTTCATGACTTGTGTCTAATCAAACTTTGCCAAACAATAATGTGAATGTCACGGTAATAGGAATAGCATTATAAGCTGTATGTGAGAATTATTCTGCTGAGAGAGCTTCAGGGCACATGTGTAGTGATTTGTCTTGATAGTCTTTCCCTATTGTTGTCTCCATTTTATCATCTGCTGTGGTGACCAAATTTTCCCACAGTGTTAATTTAAAGTTCCTGTCATGCAATCTGTCATCATTCCACTTCATACATGAGCATTTGTGCTGTCAAAGACCTACCGAGGAAGAACTACACTCTATAATCGTCTCGTAGATCAGGTCACTTATCACAATACTATTTCAGGTACAGTACTTGGGAAGGTTTACATGATCGTATAGGTGGCTTAAAATCTGAGGTGAAGAATAAATGACAGAAAATGTTTTTGTATTTTTCTATTCTATTTTTTGGTCTTTATTTCAGATACTGTAAAGAATGTATATGTACTTTACACAATATATGTATTTTGAGAGCCACAAAAAAATTGAATCACAAAAATGAGTACATTTACAAAAAAAAGAATAATATCTGCATGCCGTCAAAGGACTTTTTGGGTCCAGGTGTCTACGTAATCTTTGGTAGATTTCCTGCATGTCGAGCAAATTGTTAGCTGCCTATCATATTTTATTTTATTTCAATTTACCTCATTTTGACTGTTTCACCTGCTTAGGTGGTCGTCTACAAGATCCTCTACATTGTGCTGTTCCTCTTCTGTGTTGTCCTCTATCAGGTTAGTGATGTTAGTGATCTGACTTTAGTTGCCAAGCTTCTTCATTGAAGATGTAACTTACAGAACTCGCTGCGGCTCGTACAGTAACTACATGTATGTTACTCCTCGGTGTGAAAATTGTTTATTACATTTATTCTCTGAGCAGATGATGGGCGTAAATTTGATATGGAGATGGCAGGGCTCAATAAGTGGAGAGGAAATTTGCTTTTATAGTTGACACGTTGTTGCACAACACACTAAGCTGCGATGCTTTCAGGTTCATCTTACACTGTAATGCGTTGACTCCTAAGTTATCATTAGTGAATCATTCAGCTGTTGTTTGGGCATAAAAACGCTCGGCTCTTATATGAACTGGGAACGCACACACAGACTATTTGCCACTCATCAATTCTATTTTACAGTTAAAAGTATTGATTATGACTCATAAACACCTACACAGTCATTTTTTGTTTCTGTTTTCCTGTTTTGTTTTTTTCTCCACCATCTTATGTTACTGCTGACATTTTAGAAACACAGAAGGCACTTATACAGGAAGGCCTAATGGCTGTAGAAGTGACGTAAGACAAGACAACACCACTTGTCTGTTCGGACAACATCAGCAACACTGTTTACTGGTGTTTAGAGGTAACTTGTTTGGAAGATGCAGAACATTCAGGACAAACTGCTTTACAGTGTCGTGTTTTACCTCTTTACTTTTCATAAAACAATGTTTTTCTTTTTACAAAATGTACCAAAACACTGGCAATGAGGAAGATCTTGGCTAGATAATCTGAAATGAAATCCTACCCTCTAAACTAAAAGGCCAATCTGCTTTTAACTGACATCAAACACTGTTACTAAGCTTGTTTACAAGATATTTAGTCTGTTGTCTCTCCCCTCAGATCCGTTACGACGTGTGGCGTCGGGTCCTGAAGACGTTCTGGGCGGTGGTGGTCGGTTACTCCATGGTGGTGCTGATAGCCATCTACATGTACCAGTTCAGTAGTGTGTCTGGGCTGTTCAGACAGATCATGGGCATGTCGGAGGAAGGGTGAGTTTTTTTAAGAGTCCCGTTTCTTGGGAATGAAGCAAGAAAATGAT